TGGAACCCTTGTGTATTGCTGGTGGGAATGTAAAATGGTGCATTTACATATATTAAGGGCTCATACACATTTGTGTCTTGTTTCCAGAGTCTCTATGCTATTCCACTGTTACCTTCATAGGACAATGCTTTGAGCTTTATTATATGCTGTTTTGAGCTTTATTATAAATGTAAAATGTAAAATGGTGAAGCTGCTGTGGAAAACAGTACAGCAGTTCCTCAAAAAAAATTAAAAACAAATATCACATGATCTAACAATTCCTTTCTGAGTTTGTACCCAAAAGAATTGAAAATAGGAACTTGACCGGACATTTGTTCACCAATTTTCATAGTAGTATTATACCCAACAGCCAAAAGACAGAAACAGTCCAAATGTCCATTGATGGATGAGTGGATAAAGAAAATGTGGTCTCTACACACAATGGAGTATTATTCAGCTTTATAAAGGAAGGAAATTCTGGCCCATGCTACAACAGGGATGAAATTTGAAGACATCATGCTAAGTGCAATAAGCCAGATATAAAAGGACAAATGCTGAATGATTCCACTTATATGGGGTACCTGGATAATGACCCAGGCTAATCCATCATGCCACTCTGCCAGTCTTGGTATACAGCAGTTTCAGGCATCACACATAGACAGAACCAGCAAAGACGCATGGCAGCCTTTGATTACCTAAGAATGCATTTATTTGGAGCTCCCCAGCAGACTGCCCTAGGATTCCATTGCCGTCATCTTTATGTCTACCAGCAACTATAATGCAAAGCAGGACATAGTGCTGGGGGCATGGGGTAACCACAGTGCATCAGCAGAAATAGCTCACTTTTGGTCAAGGTAATCACATGAGTATTTCTGGAGGAGGTGGCATCTAGACTGAGCCTTGAAGAATGAAAAGGATGGTAAAGTCAGAAAGACAGGAAAGAGCAATCTAAGCTGAATGGCATGAGTAGAGAGGAGGAGGCAGGAACATACAAGAGGAGATGAGTTAAGTGGTTTTTACAAGAATCGTCTTTTGAGTGCCTTCTAGGGACTGGGAACTTTGTGTATTTTTTGCCCATTTAATCCTTATTAAAAATATAGCTTCCTCAATAAATGGAAATTTATGATTGATGAAATCCAAGCTTGAAAAGATTAGGTAATGGTCCAAAATTGGCAGAATGAAAGATTTGATTTTGTTTGTCTCCAACACATGGTGATTTTATTAATTCTTTCATTTATTGTTTATTTACTTCTAGTAAATGTTTCTGTTATAATTCATTACAAAAGTAATAGATGTACCTTGTAACAAATGTACAAGGTAAGCAAACTTTAAAGTGTGGATATTCTTCCTTACCTTTCTTAGGCTCACACAAACATGTAAACATATATGTGTTTTTCCATCTCCCTTTATATATTTTTATTTTAAAAAATGAGATCATGCTGGACAATTGATGAGCTCTGAACAAGGTCCGTAGACTAGATATGTATGTATTGATCAGTATTAATTTCTTGATTTTTAAAATTGCCCTGTGGCTATATATGCAATTTTCTCATACTTGGGAGATACACACAATGAAGTTTTTTTCAGATAAAGAGGCATCATGTTTGCAGCAGACTCTCAAATAGTTAAATATATAAAATATTAACTGTTTGGAAATCTGGGTAAAGGATATCCAGGAATTCTGCCTTCTTCCCTTGCAATTTCTCTGTAAGTCTGAAATAATGTCAAAATTAAAAAATTTTTAAATGGTGGGATCAGGCCATTCATCTTACTCAGTGACTTGCATTTTTTACTTGACCATATAAAATAAACATTTTTTCCAAGACAATAAATATAGTTCTATTCATTCACTTTAATGGCTGCATAATGTTCCATAGTAATATTCTATTGTATAAATACATTCTGAAATGTATCCAACCACTCCCCTTTTAATGGATTTGACATTAAATGCAATCTTCATTATATATTAAGGGCTCATACACATTTGTGTCTTGTTTCCAGAGTCTCTATGCTATTCCACTGTTACCTTCCTAGGACAATGCTTTGAGCTTTATTATATGCTGTTTTGAGCTTTATTATAAGGTCTTATATCTGTTTGAGCAGGACTCTTGCAGCTATTTTTTTATTTCATAAACTGTTCTTGATCATTCTTCTATGTTTATATCCTTTAATAAGAACTTAATTTCCCCATTTCCATTTTTAGATCATTTTTACTTAGTTCTATGAACAAAACAAAAATCTTGTTGGGATTTCTAATTGCAATTGCTTTAAAATTGAAATTTACTTTTAGATGGACTGATTTGCAAGAACAAGGCATACCTCTCTATATGTGGAAGTATTTAAACCAAATCTATGTAAATAAGTAAATTATATAAACAGAAGTCATTGCATTAAAAAGTACTTTGGGAGTTTCAGTCCTCAAGGGCTATCTATTTGAGTCTGTCCTGTTTTGAATCCATCTCCGGCTGTGGGGACAAACTGCAAAGGGACCCAGCTGCCCCTAGAAAGGTTGACTCAATGGCATAGTGCTAATTGGCTCTTTCTCACATGTGTCCTTCTGTGGGTCCTTCCCACCCTTTCCCATCTACAGAAGGAGACGCAGATGCTTGGAGAGGTAGAGTGACTTGCCCAAATGACACCAGAGCTGGCAGGCACAGAACTAGCCTGACACCCAGGGTTTTTCCAGAAAGTTGTTGCATCCTGTCCTGGTCCTGATCTTTGGCTTCTCAAGGGCTGTGGTACTTGTGTTTCCTCGGTAGCTCCCCAAACAACCTTGACATTCAGGCACAAGGAGGCATTTGGTTTGAGGGCTGGAGCTCAGGGCTGGTCTATTACTCCCAAGGGAAAAGGGACCAAGGGATGACAGGCTTCACTTTCTCATGAAGCTGCAGCTTTCCAGCCTTAAGGATTTAAAAAATCTTCCTCAAAGTGAAGAGCTGTCAATTCCTCATTCTGCTGCGCTGCTTTGCTGGGTTGTGTCTCTGCCTGTCTGAATCTAACCCATTTTTCACAGTCCAAGTTAAATGCCACTTCCTCTGTGGTGCCTCTTTTGATTTCTTTCTTCCTCCTGGGCTCCTCCTTCCTGTCATGTGGGTCATGACCCACCTCCCTCTGAATACATTCACTTGCTTGCTGTGACTGTCTTTAAAATAGTTGACCTCTCTGAGCCTCAATTACTTCCTTTGTAAAACTGAAATAATGCCTGCCTTATAAGGCTGTTGTCAATGAAAAGAAATAATATATGTAAATCATAGTCCTAGGCTCACAGAATGTTCTTACACATCAGCTTGCTGTTATCACACTCATACACCTACGCAGCCCTGCATACACATAGATTTTACCTGTATGTGTCAAGGCTCTTATCCTTTCTACCTTATATATTAATTATCTGTGTTGACCGTTGGCTCCTTGTGGCTAGTGATAATAAGGTGCTGTGAAAAGACACAGGATCTGGAATCAAAAGATTTGGGTCTGCCTTCAACCAGCTAGTGACTGAAGACAAGTTACTTCTCCTCCCTGAGTTTCTTCCTCCACAAAAGAAGATAGCAATAAAATGTGCCTCATCATCTCTTCTTGTACATTATCAAAATAAGATAATGGATGCTCAAAGGCTTTAGATACTGCCAAGTTGCCCTTACCTAGTTCCCAGAAGTTCAGCACAGTGCCTTGCTGCTGGGGGGGAAGGGTTGTTTATAAAGCTTTGTTAAATGAGGAGGCCATTGCATTGACTTGCTTTGGTCTTTACAGTTGCCCTCTGAGATAAGCTTTAAGATCCCTGTTTCAGAGATGAGCAAACTGAGGTATGGAGTGAGTAAAGTGCTTCATTCATTCAATAGACATCTGAATGAGCAACTACCATGCATCTGACACTCAGACACTGGAGATACAAAAAAAAATCCCTGCCCTCATAGTCCAGAGCAGAGGACACACCCAAAAACCTTAAGTAAAACACAAGGCAGATCATGAATCATGGCTATGGCTAATATTTGTTGGGTACTTATGAAGTGCCAGTCACTTTGTATGTTTTACTCATTCAGTCCTCCCCAAACTATCAGCTAGGTACCATTATTACTTGCACATTTCTCATGTATCCATAGATAAGGCATGGTGATTGCTTAAGGTTTCATAAATGGTAAGTGGCAGATGGGGAATACCCTATTGGTCTAGGGCCAGAGGCCCCACCTTAGCCGCCAAGCTCTACCACCTGTGATATTAAGGCAGCACATAAGGCATTATCAGAGTCTTAAAGAGGGACTCCTAACTCAATCTGGGGTTCACCTGTGGTCAGGGTTGATTTCTTGAAGCACTAAAAATCAGCTAAGCAGAGGTATGTGGGGAAGGCAAGGCCATTCAAGGAGAGGGAAATATGTGAAGGCCACCTAGTGGAAGTCGACACAGCATCCCAGACAGGGAGGCACTGGGGCTCTCTGGAGGAGGCTGCAGAAGCAGGTGCAGGGCCCAGTCTAGAGAGCAGAGTGTATATATCCTAAAGGAAGGTCAAGGTTTGAAAGTTTGTAACCGGGGAGATTTGGTAGATGATCTTTCTAAAAATGTGTGGTAGGGAGACAGACTCAAGAGTTATCCAGGCACTAGTTGACGGCGACCTGTACAAGGGCTGGGTAGTGAGGAAGAGATAAGAGAGATTCAGAGGCTGAGTTTTCTGGATGATGATGATGAAGGGATTGCTAAATACAAGGCAGGGAGCAATTTTGGAGGACACGCAGTTTTTCGGCTTCTAATCCCGGAGAACAGAAGGTGATCTCACAAGGTCAGTTTTGGATGCAATCCAGGTTTTCCAGCGTCCAGTTCCGTGCCCTTTCGCCTCTGGGCGCCGCCAGCGACTACGCCCGCCGGCTTGCCTCCCGGGCCACGGGGAAGGCCACTGCTCCGCCTGGCAACCTCTGACCCTAGAACGCCACTCCTCCCGCGGTGGCGCTACTGCAGTGCGCCTTCCTAGGCGTCAGGGGGCGCTCCCGCACATGCTCGGACCTCTCTGGCCCAGCCCGTCTCAGTAGCCACGGAAGGTGACGTGGACACGGAAGTGGTCGTCGTCGCGGCGGCACCGGTGGGAGCTGGGCGCGGGGCTCAGAGTGCGGCCGGCGAGCGGACTAGCGGCGGTGGCTTCGCACCTGGGCAGCGGCGGGGGACGCAGGCGTTGTCGGATCGGTGTGAGTCCTCTGAACCGAGGAGAGGCTTCTCAGCCCGTCTGCCAGTCGGAGCCCCGGATCCGGGACCTGCTCAGCCGGCGTCACCATGACCAAGGCCGGCAGCAAGGGCGGGAACCTCCGCGACAAGCTGGACGGCAACGAGCTCGACCTGAGCCTCAGCGACCTGAACGAGGTCCCCGTTAAGGAGCTGGTCAGTACAGTCCCAGGAGGCCCAGGAGCCCACCCGCGACTAGCTCTGGCCTCTGTGTGGGCCTCCTGATTTTTCTATGCCTCAGTTTCCCTGTCTTAAGAGAAAGTGGGGAGGAGTGGGACTAAGTCTTCGGGGGAGTGGAGCGGGGGAGGCCTCGTCCTGCTTACTGTCCTTCCCGGGATGTACACGTGTCACTTTGGCGCAGTTCCAGAAGATAGGGAGGAGCTGCTTCTCTGGCCTTGGGCTTTTTACATGTCAGGAGTGAATCTCCCTTCATTTTGGGGGGCTTTTACAGGGCTCACTCCATGCTGGACCCAAAGTAGGGGCTCACTGAGCGGTTGCTGGATGTATTTGGAGAATGAATGAACAAGTGAATGAATAACGCGGCCGCAGAAAAAGGCATCAGGGTAGACCTGGGTGTGGCCCAGAACGGGGCTCTTCTAGGAAGTTGGCAATCCCATCCCGTTGCCCCAGCCCTGAGGCGTCCTTCCTTAAAGAACGTGAAGTGTCACAACTTGGTTGGCAAGATCTCTTCCCTACTTGTAAGAAACTGGCAGGAATTCCATGTATTGTGGCCCACCCCCCAACTGCCACACTCCCACACTCCCACACTCCCACCCAGGAAACAGGCTTGAGGCCTGAGGGAGGTTACGCTATGTTGCCAGAGTGAATTTAGATGGTACATCCATGCTTTTCCCACTTGGTTCCCCACCAGTACCTCTCACTTTGGATGACCTCCACTTTGCTCACTTGCCTTTAGTGAATTACATTTACCTTTGGCAGTCTTCCCTCCTCCTTGGCTCTGTAGAGTGGAGGTTAGAACACATTCCCAGTTTATATCCCAGCTTCACTGCTTGGTAGCTGAGTGCCCTAGGCAAGCTAGTTGCCCTTTATACCTCGATTTCCTTATATATAAATGGTAATAATAGTTCCCATCTCATAGGGTTGTTGTGAGGATTAACTAAATTCGTGGCAGGTAACAAATGCTGATACATGTAGTTATTATCATTACCTTTTACTTCAAGGCTTTCTTTTTTTTTTAAAGCCTTTTGTAATTGTAGGAATTTTCTCTAGAAAATGCTTCATTAGCAGCTGTCCCTGCATCTTCCATGTATTGCTTTTACATTTTGTTCTCATTCCCTTTTCTAGGCTGCCCTCCCAAAGGCCACCATACTGGATCTGTCTTGCAATAAACTGACTACTCTACCGGTAAGATTGGCCAGCAAGCAAGATTCCTTCTAGAGCTTCTCCTTTCTGTTTGTAGGGGGAGTTGTGTCATAAGACATAATTTCAGGACAGGCCTGTAGGCAGGCTGTACCTAAATCTGAGTGTGTTGGGCATGGAGTGGGATGGTTTGTTTCCGTGGCAGGGAAGCAAGGTAGAGGTCTCATTCTTCAGAACAGTGAGAAAGTCAGGCCACAGAAAACTAAAGTCAATAGGATGCTGGCCAAATCACTTATTGGGCTCACCTTTTTTTCTGCCTTACATTATTCAAAAAATGGTTTACCTCCCTATAGTGTAAAAAAGGCTAGAGACCATTTTGTAAGTTGCTCTGCATTCCAAGGAGGAGGTTGTTTGTGAACAGCCTCCTTGTGCATCTTTTGATGAGGAACAGGAAAAAATGTGGCTTTTTGGGACTACCATGTCATTATCCTCCCAATACTTGAATTACTTGAGATACTTTATTGTTCAGCACATACAATCTGTGGTCTTATCTGATTCCTCTCCCAATTCTCCTTCATATGCTTTGCAGTGTCTTCAGTCCACAGTGCTTCACCTGTGTGCGCACTGAGCTCTCAGCCCTTTAACCTCTCCTGGGTAATGGCTGGTCTCTCCTCTGTAGCAGTTTTGCTTCACTGCCAGGCCTGTTGTCATTGTTGCCTTTTCCACATGTCACTCCTTGCCATACTTTATTGGGCTCTGGCTCAGAAATTGAGTCTCAGAAGTTGGCAGTTAACCCATTGGATCATTAGTCCATTCTCCTGCCAGTATTCTCCTGGGCCTTGCTCACTGTCTGTAGCATCTTTGCACAGCTCATCAAGAACTATTTCTGACATTGAAAGAGCTTCTGAGATCCCATGTCTTCCCAGACAGATACCGTGTCTAATGAAAGAACAGTAGTGATTCCTAGCAGCCTGACACTGGCCATGCACTTAGTCAGATAGTCATTCAGCACCCCAGTGCACTTTTCAGTCTGAGTTGTTTGTGCCTTCCTCAGTAGTGCAGACCCCCTGGCCTTTACAAGTCCCCAAAGAGCACAGTGTCTTGTTAGCTGAGGTTGGAGCATCACTTCAGGCCATTGTGCTAGGTGCTCAACCAAGACTAGCACTGGGTGCTCAAGGGGCACCTGATCTTTTTAGAAAAGCGGATGCTCAAACTGTTTTGATAGGTCCTGTGAAAGGGGAACCTAGGGTGCAGTGGATGGACAGGAGCGGTCTCTAGTCGCCCCAGGAGCTGTGTAGAAGGCGGATGGGAGGGAGAAGTGAGGAGGAAGGAACACACACTTATTTTGTGCCTACTTTGTGCTAAGCCCTTTTACCTACACAGCTTCCTACCTACCACCAGGAGTGGTGAGTGGTATCTCCATTTTCACACGAGGTGGAATAGCTGGTAAAAGGTTGAGTCAGGATTTACACACAGGTGCCTCTCTGCCTTGTGAGCTCCTGTGCTGTTATACCAAAGTGTGTGAGCCCAAGGCTGTAAGTTCTCTCTTTGGGTCTTAGTCGGATTTTTGTGGCCTCACACACCTGGTGAAGCTGGACCTAAGTAAGAACAAACTGCAGCAGCTGCCGGCAGACTTTGGCCGTCTGGTCAACCTCCAGCACCTGGATCTCCTCAACAACAGGCTGGTCACCCTGCCTGTCAGCTTTGCTCAGCTCAAGGTAATAATTCAGGAACCAGTGTTTCACGGCCAAGTGTGACTGAGGGCTTGGGGGCTGATGGAGCATGGCTGTGAGAAAGGCTGGCAGAAATCCCACCTTGTTGGCTCTGCCTCATATGGCCTTCTTCCTGCTCATTTTATTCCCTCTTGAAGGACTCTCTGTGTAAACTTGGGCTTAGCCTCCGTGTCCCATTTCTTTAGAGCCTGAAGTGGCTGGACCTGAAGGATAACCCCCTGGATCCTGCCCTGGCCAAAGTGGCAGGGGATTGCTTGGATGAGAAGCAGTGTAAGCAGTGTGCCAACAAGGTAAGTGTGAAGCTCCCCAGTGTCTCCATCACACATTCCCCCAGGACTTGCCTCTGCCTCCTTTTCGTTTTCCCTCCCAGGGCGCCTGTGGCTGTTTGTTGATTAAAGCACTAAGGTAGATCTCAGTGAAGTATGTCTACCGTAAGCCTGTCAACAAAAGGCCCTTTGTTTTCTGTGTTTACTTTACAAGTAGTAGAACAGTGCTATTTTCTGCTCTGCTGCAGTATTTCCATTCTTAATAACCCAGGACCCTGCATGATCCAGCATGGCATTATCGACAGGTTAAATGAGACAAGAGGGCTAGGGCCTTTCTGAGTCAGTTTTTTATAACAAAGGTGGTGTTAATATTTGTTAGGTTTATAGCTATAAACAGATTATTTCCTGGGCAGTTCGGAGCTTTGATTTCCATCAGGCCATCTGACAGGAGTCAGGAACTAAAGGCAGCATAGAAGGCAAACATGGCCAGTGACCTTGAAGATGCCTTACACTGTACCCATCTCAAACACTCCAGCAACAGTCACTTTTTTCCCTTCAGCTTTAGAACAGATTGCTGCTGCCTCAGTGGAGCACAGGTGATTTACCTGGTTGTGTTCAGGAGGCATGGTGAAGACTTTAAATGCTAGAATTAGTGGAAGTGAAATGTGTATGATGGGTCTCTATATAAATATCAAGAACAATGGCCTTTCTTTTCTTATTAATTAGCTCAGGGCTTTTAAATATGCTCATTATCTCTATCACCCAGTAATACAAGAAACCAAGTGTAAAAACACTGGAGCACAATGGCCAAGGCACCAGTTTGCCTATAGCTGGAAACAGCACAAGTGATGAGTGCAACCCTTGTGCTGTAGGATGTCTGTTCGGAAGATTAATGGGAGCTACTGCTGAGCACTCTTCCTTTGTCCTGCACGCTGTACATTTCATCTCAGTCCTCATAATCCTGGGAAGTAGGTATTACTTCCATTTCTCTGTCTCAAGACACCCTCAGGATGGACATACCCATTTATTCATTCAACCAATAATATATTGAACCGTATGAAATTGCTGATATTCCAGTTTTTGACCTACAAAAATACTTTGAATTGAGTGCAAAGGTCTTTACACATATATCATCAAGACAAAGCTCCAAGTGGCTGTGGTAACTAAAGCCATGCTCCCTGGCTCCCTGCCCCAGTGCTGTCTCCTGCAGCACACCTGCAGGCCTTGCGAGGAGTGGTATGGGCAATCAGAGTGAGCGCGCTTGTCTCTGCGAGTTAGTGTAGGTCTCACCAGCCCTAAGCTTGTGGGGGTGTGGGTTATTCTTAGTAAAGCACCTTTTAAAATAATTTGTTAGTTCAATAGTATTCACTAAGCACTTACCATATGCCATGGGCTGGGATTGGTAGACAAAACCTACCTTCCAGGAGCTCACAATCTAGAGGAGTCTCCCATTTCTGAACTTGCGTTTTCAGATAATTAACTCCTGATGTATTGTAGCCCGGTAAAAAGGGATGTCTCTTAAACCTCCCAGCTGTTTAGCTAGCTAAAAATAAGTGAATGGTTGGTGCTTATTTAATATTCAAAGTTCAGAGTGAGACAGGGACTTGGAACTTGGGTTGCCTCTCACCATCATGCTAGACCTTCCTACACATCCTGCAACTCCTTTCTGAGCTGCCAATTTTTAGTAAGCTTGACTCCCTTCAGAGGTGTCAGCAGGTTCAAGTCCTGGGTTTCTCAGAGTGAGGTTCCTGTGGATTCAGACCAGGCTCTTGGAGAGAGCTGCTTCTGCAGGCCTCCTCCTGAGCCCCTCTGATGACGAGTATTTGCTTGTCTGAAGTTTCCATGAAATAAAATACTTACATTTGAATGCATGTCTGTCCTGCAGGTTACCTAGTGCAGTAGTGAAATAGACAATTTGGTGCCTTAATTTAGAACAGTTTAGGTTTTCTTCTTATTCATGCAATAAAGAAGATAAAGTAAAAACATGGCCATATTTATTGAGTGGAGATAGTACCAGGGGTTATGTTAAGTATCCAGTGCAAGTTATGTAATTTAATCTTACAACAGGCCAGAGAAGACTATCTCCCATTTTCCATAGAGAAAATTGACTCAAAAATGTTAAGTCGCTTGCTAGGGTCACATGATGAGTAAGTGGTAGAGTCAGGTTCATTCTGGGCTCCAGGCTTAGACTGTGTCCCCTACATCCAAGGAATACCAGCTTCTAAAAAATACAACTTAAAAGCCTTTAACTTCATTCTCCTAAGCATGCCCACAGTGCAAATCAGGTCTGGGAACTCAGAGGACCTGTACTCTTAGCTGGGCTACTTTCTAGCCACATGATGTGAACAAACCGCACTCGCAGAGCCTCTGTTTTCTTTTGAAATGGGAGTTCAGTCAATCGCTTATTACACATGCCTTGAGTGCTTAGCCTGCAGACAGAAGAGTAGTCCCCCAGCCTAGGAACTCATGGTCTTAGGACTGAGGTGCGTAAGAAAGCTCCCCAGGACTGGGAGGAGGGGAGCCTAATAAAGCCAAAGAAGGGAGGGCAGGAAGTCTGGGGGACAGACAGTGCTGCCCCTGCTCATCACAGAGTTGCTGGGAGGATTAACTGAAATTGTGTGTGTGAGGGTGAGTGTCAATGGCAGGACATCACAGATTGTAGTGGCACTGTGTTTCACAAACTCTTCTGGACAGCTTTAGTGGCCTGGGCGGATAGCTCCTCCAGCTAAGGTTGGTGCAGTAAGTTAGGATACAGAGAAGATGAGCTCCATTAGCTCTGCCTTGCTGCCGTGGCCTGTGGTGATGTGGGACCCTGAATAGTCTTTTTGAGGTTCCTGAGCAATGTGTATGCCGGCAAGACTCCTGTGTTGTGTAGCTGAGGTCCCTCCTTTCCCTTTGCAGGTGTTACAGCACATGAAGGCTGTGCAGGCAGATCAGGAGCGAGAGAGGCAGCGGCGGCTGGAAGTAGAACGAGGTAGGTGGTCCTTCCTCTGGTAGCTTCCTTCCCCAGCCAGCTGATGCTCAGGCCTCAGGAGTTTGAATCAGCAGAAGAGTTGTGGAAAGGAGTGGGGAACAGAGTGGTGGTGTATAGTATCACTTTTGTCTAACGAATCTCTCTGCAGCCCTGCCTTCTCTGCTGAGCTCCAGAGTCATATTCAGCTGCATGTCTTCCTGTTTGCTTGGAGGGTTAATCGGCATCTCAAATTGACCATCCCCTTCAACTCCTCCTGGTGTTCCCCTGTAATAGGAAACCACCATCCCTGCAGTTATGCAAGCCTGAAATCAGAAAGAGTCCCTGACTCCTTTCTTCAGTTACTCCCCTATCCAGTCTGTCAGCAAGGCCTGTGTGTGACTGCTCCTCCCCCATCAGTGCCACCACTGCAGCCAAGCCTCCTTCCTACAGAGTGCCGCAGTGCCGCCTAAAGTGATGCCCTGCCTCCACACTTGGGTCCTCTCTGCAGGGCTGTTCTCCACACAGCAGCCAGGGAGATCTCCTGAAAACAAATCAGTTATGCTGCTATTTGCTTAAAACCCTCTAATGGCTTTCAGTTGAATCTAGAATAAAATTCAAACTAACGTGGCCAACAAGGTCCACCATGGCCCAAGCCTGCTTGCTTCTCTGGCCTTGTCCACATAGAAGAATGCTCTTAACTTCAGTTACATGAACCTCTGCTGTTGCCTAAACACACCAAGTACAGTCTCACGTCAGGGGCTCTGCTTGGTTTCCTTTTCCCTCAGGTCTTTACGTGGCTGGCTTCATGTGATCCCTCATGTCTTTGCTCAAATGTTGCCTTAACCCTTCCAGAACCATCCAGACTAGAATAGCCATCCCACCTGTCACTCTTAATCACATCCCTTTTATTTTTTATTTTCTTGATGGCACTTACTACTCTCTCTTACTATTTGTTCACTTGTATTGTCTGACTCCTCTAGAAAGTAGGTAACTAAGGCACTAAAACCTGACTTGTCTTCACTGCTCTGTCTCGAGAACTTAAAGCAAGACCTGGCACACAGTAGGTGCTCCGTTGACTGGCTGGCTGACTTCTGAGCCCCTTACTGCCATGGCTGGAGCCAGGACATGTGTAGTACCCATTGCAGGCAGTCCCTGAGACAGAGCCCTGAGTTATGACGGGCCCATTCACATGCATGGCTACTGCGGAGCCCATGTTTATCCTAACCACTGCCACTGTTGCTTCTTGATGGCACACCTCCTCTCAAGGCTGGGGGTAATGTGTTCTTGGCATCCTCAGTGCCCAGCTGGAACTTGGCGCTTGTTTGTACATAGAAAAGCAGTGGAAAGCTACAGTACTTACAGGACTGCTATTCAGCTACATTATGGCTCAAATAGGATCTTAAGCCCAAAAGGACACTTACCCACCATTTGTGGCATTCTGGCTTTGGGAAAATGTACTTCAGCCTTCCAAATAACTAATTTGGAAATGCATTTTTAGAACCCAGAAAATTATATGTTGGGTACTGCACGTAAACCTACTTGAGCCATGAAGTAAATGTGAGTATGTCACATAGATTCCTGAGTTGAAGTCCAGAGATTACCCTCTGGCAAACTGTTAGTCTTTTTTCAGGAAAACATTTGCGTGGTCTCCAGCCCTGAGCTAGAGTGCTCACTTTCTCTTCTTACTTGCCCTCCCCATGCCACACTGCTTTCTGAAGCTTGCGAAGATAGGAATCCCAGAGAGTCAACATGTCCATTCTTCCTTCTCTTCATAGCTGAGTTGGAGAGGCTGTCAATGGCTGGCTTTCAGAATTAGTACCTAATTCTGGAGGAGCAGCAGACTTACCACCCATGCCTTTTGTATGTCTCCCTTGTTACATCACCCTAATGTTTGTGCTGGGAACCCCTCAGTAAGAGTCCATTCAACAAACACTGAGAGCAGCTTACTGAATTTTAGGGAGGGCTTACTTCCTGGAGAGCAGAAAGACAGTGATTTCCTTTTAATGTATCTTAATTTGACCATGAAATAAGGGAAAGGAGGCTGGATCCATACTGTTAGTCATCCGGGAAAGCACACTGGCAGGTCTGTGGGGAAGACGTCATCTTTGGGTGTTCCCTTGTAGAGGCCGAGAAGAAGCGGGAGGCCAAGCAGAGAGCCAAGGAGGCTCAGGAGCGGGAACTGCGGAAGCGGGAGAAGGCAGAGGAGAAGGAGCGCCGGAGAAAGGAGTATGATGCCCTCAAAGCCACCAAGCGGGAGCAAGAGAAGAAGCCTAAGAAGGAAACAAACCAGGCTCCAAGTACGCCCTCTCAGTTGTGAGGCTCCAGCAGGGGTGCAGCGGGGACACTTGCTTATGTTTTCAGGCATAGATGAGTGAGTCAGGGGGCTTGGTCATGGGGAGTGGAGGACTCCGAGGGAGCACTGCCCTGGCTGGTTTCCCTAGAGCCACATGCTGTGGATAGGTGTGTTGGTCAGAATTGGCTTAGAGCATTCCCGGCATACGAAGTTGTGCTTTTTGTTAAGTTTCAGATTCTAAGCTCACGGAGAAGGTGGAGACTGCCTAAGGTCAGATGACCCGTAAAAGTCCTTCACATTTGTGAAGTACACTGAGAGGCACCTGAGAGGGGAGAAGCTCTGTGGGGAGGGTGGAGGCCTGGGGTCCTGTCCTGCTTGCCCTCCCTGGTCTTCAGCAGGTCACCTAACCTCCCCACCTTTTTATTTTCTTGTAACATGAGGATCATATCTCCTTATAGGGTGGTGATAGAATTGAGTGAGAAAATCAGTGGGATAGGGTCATGCAGCTCAGTCAGGCTTTTAAAAATTTTGCCTAAAAATCTCAAAGCCAATTTTTTTTCTAACTGCAAATGTAATGTATTTATCAGCAAACGGTGGTCACCTGCAACAGCAGCAATTACTCCCCATTCCCAGCCGCAATCACTCTTAACAGTATGAAATGTCACCTTCTAGTCTTTCTTTTTATATTCATCTTACATAGGAATGATGACATTCACAATACTATTAATGAATCTCGAACCTGTTTCCTCAAATGGGCAGCACCTGTCCATACCTGACACCACCTGATAAGCCCCTGCCCGTGATCCCTAGGGACTCGGGTCCTCACCACGTTGCAGAGAACACAGGACTCTGGGGACTAAGCTATGAGAGATTTCCAGAATGAGCTCATTTTGAGTGCAGTCCCCTGAGATTCAAGAGAGAAGGCATTTCTGCTTCTTAAAACAGCTTTCTCTTCAGGGCCTGGGCACTTTTGAGAAGAGGGGTGCAAGTGGATCTGCAAGGGGGAGACTAGCAGCCGTTGGAAGGTGGGTCTCCTCAAAGTGATGGAACTTTTCTTTGTAATTTGTCTCTCCAGAGTCTAAGTCCGGCTCTCGGTCCCGCAGACCGCCGCCCCGGAAGCACAGCCGGTCCTGGGCTGTGCTGAAGCTGCTGCTGGCACTACTGCTGTGTGTCGCTGGCGGGCTGGTGGCCTGTCGGGTGACACATCTGCAGCAGCAGCCCCTCTGCACCAGCGTGAACACCGTCTACGACAATGCGGTCCGGGGCCTGCGCAGCCATGATATCCTCCGGTGGGTCCTGCAGACCGAGTCCCAGCAGTGAGCTTGTCCTCAGCCCTGCTGCCTCCCCAGCCTTGGAGCTTGGATTCCTACGGAATTGGGTTCTGCTGGACACAACCTCTTTTTAGCTCAGACCTACCTGCCATCATCAAATGGCTGCCAATGGTACTTGAGATCTCTTTATAGACTTCTTTGTTCCTTAGTCAGGGTTCCCTGGTGGAAGAAGTGGGAGGTGGGGACAGTTACCTGCATGCCTGAAGGAATAGGCTTGGGATGGGGAGAGGAAAAAGCCTTTTCTAATTGCTATACAAAGTTGCATAAAGGCAAGGCTCATTTCTACTAAATGGTCAGGTCAGCTGTCACTACATTTATACTTTTGTATGTCACAAATCTTTCTTTCATTCCTCCCTGGGTAGCCAGGGCAGATCAGGAGGCAGTGTGTCACTGGGGACACAGGGATCACCATACTCAGCGATCTAAATTGAGGGGAGGGGCATAACTATTTTCTTAAGGACCTCAGGCACTGAGACATTTTAATGACTGTACAAAATCTCAGGCTGTGAAAGGGGCTTCAAGACCATCCAGGCCAATATAACAATTGCAGACAGGGAACCAGGCCCCCCATGACTTGCCTACAGTCTTCCAGTTAGTTTGAGGCAGGACCGGATTCCCACTCTGGTATCCTCCTTTCCTTCCCGTCATTTTGCCTCCTTTATAATGTCCTGAAAGAAGGGAACTCACACCAGAATTGAGTCTCTCAGCTGGAGTGTAGACTCTTTGGTGGTAGACAGATTCATCGACCCACAAGTAGAAATCTCACAGCCATGAAGGTCTTGGGCAGCTCTGTGGAGTCCTGGGCTAAGTCATGTGGCACCCATGAAATGGGGACAGTCCAGGCCCCTTGCCTTGATTTGAGAGCATTAACCCCCGCATTGTCAATAAACAAGGAGGTGTGGACCCTTGCAAAGCCACATTGTCTTCAACAGCTCTGTCAGTAGTTAGTGTGACTAAATACCTCAAAGGCAGCCTGAAAACTCAAGCTTCATAGGCTGAGGTTTAGAATTATATGAATCTAGACCTGTAGTTACACCTATACATTCAAAGGAAGCAAGTAGCATCATGGAGTTTAAAAGTGGTGCATTAACTAATGACTAGCACAAATAATGGCAGGACTGTCCACTCTCGTCTGCCAGATTAAGCATTTTCTTGCTTTCTAGCCTTCTCTGCCTCTTCTTTTTCACAACAGCTGGATGAAGGGATCAGAAATGGTCATGTCATGGTGCTCAGTCACCAAAACTACAGATCACAAGCTTCTTGCCTCTCCATAGGTTCAGACAAAGGATGGGGTCCAGCTTTTTAGTCCTAGTGGCCCATTTGGATGGACTGCCACTTGTGACTGTCCTGATAATGGAAGAAATGACTTGTTCTTTTCTCCCCCAAGAACAGCCCTCCTGCAGAGGCCCACACCTTACTCAGAATCACTACACATTCCTTTAGTCTTCCTCCAAGCTCTAGAGCCACTGGTACAAATGCTTTATTGAAACAACACACAGTACACAAAAGGAGATTAAGAGAATATGGAGGTCGGCATAGGGGTCCGGCCCCCGTTCTGAGGCTGGCTGAGGCAGTGGTAGGGGTGAGGGAGGCTGGGGCCTACCCAGCCTAGTCAAGCCAGCTTGCTGAGGGAGATTCACTCATGATCTTGAGATTTGATGCTGAGGTTCTTTTGGATTTCTGTAATTATTAAATACATGTCTGAGTGGTCTATGTTCTTTGTATTTTGAGGGCTGGGTGGGGCAGGGGTGGTTTGTGCACAGCTGCTGCTGGCTAGGACAGGAGAGGAACTATAAGTCTTAGGCTTCAGTCCCAAGTGGAAAGTAGGGAGATTTGCAAAGAAAGACACCAGGAAAGAGTCTGCTGTGGGCCTGACGAGGCTTGTGCTCCAGGAGGCACTTCAGTCTCTTCCAAGGTGGAGCTTTTCATCTGTCCTTGTGCCTGAGGGCTAGTGTCAGTCTGTACTGTCCAGAGAGAGATCTGGCTGCAGAGTGGTCATCTGAAGGTAGATACGCCTGGACAGCTCTGGTCCCACACGGCGGGAGGTAGATGTCACACCTTCCCCACGGCGTACCTTTATGTCTGCAAGCAAATTCTGGCGTTCTTGTTCCGAAAAACACCGCCTATAAGCCTGAAAGTGGTAAATGACCTCTCAGTACCCCATCATCTATGGTCATTCCTTGTCCATGAACAAGGGCACAGTAAGCGTGTGTGTGTAGTGGGGTGAGAACCCATCCTCCCTCCCTGGGTCAGTATTAACAGCTCTGAGCAGTCCTGCAATGCTGACCTATAAGGCATTCTTGGGCCCCCACCAATGCTGTCCCTAAAAACCATCTGGGCCTGCTGGGTGGAGACACCTGGACCACCATACCTGGACCAGCAGCTGTGGGGAGGGGTAGGCATCCACTACAGCACTGGCCATTTCCAGGCTGACCCGGTTCAGCTGCTGAATCTGTCTCCTCCAGACCAGTGCGAGTCCCCTGCCAGCACGGTCCACCTTTGCCCCTCCGGCCCAGTCACTCTCCAGGCAGAAGGAGAAACTAGTTTGATCTCGGAGCTTCCTGTGAATAGCACCGTTGAAGAGCTGCAAGTCATTCATTACTCCTGCACCTATCCCTTTACTGGCCTCAGACAAGTGGGCACAGTGTCACATCTGGCCTATTTGAGGGCTTTGTTCCCAAGCAGGTTTACTTGATGGTTCCTTTAAAAATGACACCTAGTCCACTCTGTTTATGTTGAGATTGGGTTGTACTGACCAGAGGCAGTGTGCACAGGTTAGGCACAAGGGACTGGCTATCAGGCAATTTGGAGTCTGGTTTTGGTTGTTCTAACCTGCTAGGAGCTTATACAAGTCAGTCTCTTCAGACCCCAATTCCCTCCAATATAAAATGAGGGACTTAGACTGGACTGTCTCTGAGGTCCCTTATTTTAAAGGCTGAGTATGGACACTCCTTGAACTATTACTCCTTATTACACTATGACCTGATCTGTAATGGATCCTGGTAAGGTGACCCACTGGTGACCCAGTACCAACCAGCAGAGCACAAGCTTACACATGAGCTAAAGCAGAGCATTTAAAGGGACAGGGTTTGAGGGCTTTTCCTAAGAACCCCTGATGTGAGGTTAGCAATTTCTGCCTCAAGCTTGTCAGACAAACAGGCTGGCAGAAAATTTAGGGAAAAGGGACATCTTTGCATACCAGAAGCATGGTAACAGACAAGGCCTAGCAACAGATGCAGGACTTATGGGGTGCACTCACTTGAAGGGTGCCTCGGCCACAGCCTTTGTGAACGTGCAGGTGAAGTCAGCCAGTTCTTCCCAGCTCTGCACGATTCGAGCCTGGGCTTGTGTGTGTAGCTGCAGATCCACCAGTGCCTAGAAACCCAAAGCAGGATAGACTGGAAGGGCGGAGAGAGCCTAATTTGAGGTGGTTCTCTCACTATTCACTGAAGCTGCACCCAGCTCCTGGGCCCCTTCTCTCCTATGCAGCACCAAGGCAGACAGCAGGCACTTTATTCCTTACCAACAGCAAACCAAATCAGGTGAGATGAGTGGACACCCAGTCTGATGCAGGCAGCAGGAGGTTCTTACCTCTTCCATGTCTACCCTGGACACCATGGGCCCAGTGTTGGCCTCTGACAGTTTCCGTTTTTTCTTCTTGGCCTGTTCTTTCTTTGCCACTCCCTGTTTTCTTCTCTTTGGAGGATTCAGATCACTGCAGCAGGGGAAGAAATCAAAGAAGGGCAGCAGCTCCAGGCTGAGCTCAGAAGAGGTATGAGAAGACAACCAAAGTGCCCCACTGGGCTTGACAAGGACACTATCTTGAGGACGGACCCAGACCTGAGATTGAAAAACTTCACATTGGCCCAAGAGCTGCCCCGTTTAATGCTAAGTCTTGAGAACAAATCCATACCTCAAGTGTTTCTCTTGATCCACAATCACCAGGGACAGAGCTTTACCTTCTGTCTTTGCTGTGATGTCAGTTACAAAGCTTCGAAGTGTTTCCTTCCCTTTCTCCATGCTGCCCAGACTTCCCTGCATGAAGGGGCAGAAATGAATTAATAATTGCTCCCTACAGTCAGCCCCCTCTCCCATGCTTCACTGTCCAACCTCTGGCTCTACCCACCTGCTTGAAGTTGTAGGTCATGGACACAAATGCCTCTGCCAGAAGCACCACCAGGACCATGGGCTCCTCCACCCAGCCCTCCTCTCCATCCTGCCAAAGGACCAGAACCCAGCAGAGGGAGGCAGGTCAGCAGGTGCTCAGCACCTGCGAGAGACCCAAACCTTCTGCGTCAGTGAACTCACCCCCATCAGCCTAATCCGTTTTGCATCATCATCCTTTCTCCTCTGGACTGAAGTTACAGTGGCAGGAAGCAATAACCCCTGATCCTGTCCCTCCCCAGTCCTCAACTGTTCAAACGGGGTATACTGCACCTCAGAGGTGGTGATAGGAAAAGAACAGTGAGTTGAAATGGGCTGAGAAATAACTGCCAATATTTCTATACATTTTGAATAGAGGAATGGAGGGAAAGGAAACTCTTCCGAAGGGTTTGGTGCAAATAAGTAACTTGAGCTTTAAAAGCAGATGCTAACTATGAGCTGAGGGGCCCTTACAAACATACAGGGTTTGTGTGACAAAGATAAGAACCACAAGAGAAAAGTCAGTCTGTGAAAGCACCTTCTCTTCCCCATAGTTAGGGAAGAATCAAACAAAGCCAGGGCCACCTCACAGTGAACAATTCTACAGCAGTATTGCATAATAGAAGCAACTGGAAGCAGGCCCTGGGCCGAGAGCTTTCTGATCAAGTCCCTATCAGCAAAAGCCAAGACCCATAATACAGCAGAGTGTGGGAGGAGCTCTGGGTTCTAGTTCCCATTTAACCACTAGCATGCGTAATCCTTAACAAGGCTTTCAACGTCTCTGAGCTTCAGTTTCCCACTTGTGGGAATTAGAACTCCTTCCCTATAGGATAACTGCAACCAGAACCTAAGAATGCGGAAGTGCCTTGAAAGGATATATGAATATTTAAGTTGGCTAATACCCCAAATTACTGAGAAAAATATGAGTCAAACGAGAAGACAAATATCTTAATATTTCACCTACAGACTACTGAAAATGAGAGGTGGCATATTTTGGGTTGATGGATAGGAGTGGAAGGTACAGGAGCTGTCCTAGTCACTGCACAGCCGTTCAGGGAAGGAACATTTACTGCGTGCCTACTGTGTGCTCAGTGATTGTATCATTCTGTCCCCACAGCAGGAGAACTGAAAAGGGTTGTAACAGTGTCCTCATTGTACATATGAGGCACAAAGAGATGAAATGATTTGCCCATGGTCACAGCAATAAAGCCATGAGGCTGGGATTCACATCTAAGCTGCCCATTCCCAAAGCACAGTTAAAACCAGTAATGCTGTGCTGATTCTTCCCTCCGCCCCACAGACCCATTCTCCACTTTTCCCCATTCTGCTCTCTGCCAGAGGAGGGAGACCTCTACAAACCACATCACAAGGTCAGCATGTCTTCTGGCTGGGCTTGGCTAGTGGGGAACACAGCAGGAGTTCGGAGGGAGGGAAGAAAAAAAAGTCAGGGTATTTCCCTGGTTTCCTTGCAATGGGGTCACCAAGGTTTTGCTATGCACCCTGATGGAGACAGATTTTTTTCAAGGTGGGTCCTTTCTACATCTCTCTCTCCTGGTAACCACTTCCTCCCCTCATCCCTTCAGGCCCTAGGCATGGTAACAGCTATGCAGGAGGTTCTCAACCAGGGGTGATTTTCCCCACAAGGGACATTTTGCAACATCTGCAGACATTTTCTATTGCCACAATGGGGAGGGGTGCACTGGCATCTAGGAGGTAGATGCCAGAGATGATGCGAAGCATCCTACAGAGCACAGAACAGGCCAGCACAACAGAGAACCCTCCGACCTGGAATGCAACAATTCCTGAGGTGAGAAACCCTGAGTTAATGCTGTTACTACCCTGAGGCACTGTGTTGTCCCTATCGTTTCCTTGTCCCATCGTGATGCTTTGGAAAATAGTCCCTTTATTACATCACCCTCAAATTATCCTAAATTGACTGTGCCATCTGTTTTCCTGCTGGGACCCTAATACAGCCTTTAGAATGAAAGCATATTTATCCTATAACTCTAAGGAGGAGGAGAGACATGTGCCAGAAAACCCCTACCTCAGTGGGCCCAGACTTTCTCCTCCAGGTGATGCTGCCAGGCACAGCCTGGGCCTCAATCCCACAGCAGCACCCCATGGACTGCAGTGCCCCAAGGAGCTGGCCCCCACCTGCCATTTGTAAAAGCCCTGCAACAGATGGGAAAGGGGCCGTCAGTGGGTGGTCCAGGAGGCAGGTAACTCAGCATGGAGTGAAGACAATCGCTCAGAGGACCTGGATCCAGCACCACCACAATGTGCCTCAAGCATTCCTCTGGCCTGAGAGCTTTCAGTCTGGTAACCAGTGCGGCCTTCTTCTTCCTTTCCTGTTGTCTCAGGGTGCTTTCCCTCTGGCTTGCTTGTCCCCGTGGCTGGCATCCCTGGGAACCTTTCCTCTGGACCTTCTGACTGCGCCTGGTTCTCTTCTGAGGCGGGGAGACCACGTTTGTTCTGGTTACTGTCAGGCTGTTGCTCTGGATGGGACAGGTGGTGTGGTGGGCTGGAAGCTGGGGGCATGGACTGTCTACCTCAGAGTCCTTGTTATTTGATGCACACCTTTCAGAGGTGACATGGAAGGGAACATCAGGGATCTTTGGAAAGGGCTGTTTTTTCCAGTCACGTGATGCTCCTTCATTACTTTCATGATCCAAAACACTTTTAATTGGGGAGCTAGAGTCCTCAGGGCTCAGCTGCTTGTGGGACAAAAACTTACATGTAAGCCTCTCAGCCAGGGGAATAATTTCCTCCTCAACCTCACTTCCACTGCTTAGCACCCTGACTGGCTCTGTTTGTGTGACGGTTTCAGCTGCATGAAGGATAGGTGGTTGACCTTTCAACCTTGGTGATGGACGACAGGAAGTCTCAGAATCTGAGGTGTCAACCACTACAATTTCCTCCCTCTGAGGCTGCAGCCTTTTTGTTGAAGATGGTTTCTTCTTTAGAAAAGTAAATGTTGGCAACTCCTCAGAGTCACTCTCACTGGAATCCATTGACAATGATGACTTCTTTAGAGCCACTGATATATGCTAGCAAATTAATTCCCTAAGAAGAAAAGAGAGATAAGACACAGACTGTAGCATTGAATTCAGTCTGTAAGATGTGTTCTATCTAAGCTATATGGAAATAAATATGATAAACAGAGAAATAGAGAAACAGAGAAACAGGACATGGTCCCAACACATTCAATCTGGAACTCAGAACAGCTCTGTCTGTAGTCTAACATGAGCTCTCCTCAAATCCCTAGGTCAAGGCCAGGTATAAACAAAGTGGAAGTTACTATTACAGAATCTTAATGGGATAGTAACAAGGCTCAACACCAGACCCCTGTTGATCTCTGCATTTGAAATAGAGATGCCAAACTCGTGCTTTAAAAAGAAAAAACTGAGGTATAATTTGCATACCATAAAACTAATTTTTAAGTTCAGTGGTTTTTAGTGTATCTACAGGTTGTGTGACCATGACTACTAATTCCAAAACATTTTCACCACCCCAAAAAAGAAATCCCATAGCCATTAAGCACTCACTGCCTATTTCCCCAACCCCTCAGCCCCTGGCAACCACAGACCTTTTTCTGTCTCTATGGATTTGATTATTCTGGATAGTTCCTGTAAATGGAATCATACCGTGTGATCTTTTGTGTCCAGTTTCTCACTTAGCATAATGTTTTCAAGGTTCATTTATGTTATAGTATGTGTCAGTACTTCATTGTTTTTTGTAACTAAATAATATTCTGTTGTAGATATGCCACATTTTATCCATTCATCACTTAATGGATATTTATTTGGTTAGTTTCCTTTTTCCGGTCATTATCAATAAGGCTGCCATGAACATTCATGTCTGAGTTTCTGTGGGGACATGTTTTCAATTCTCTTGCATATATACCAAGGAGTGTAACTGCTAGTTAGTGTTCGCGAATCATTCTTTGAACAAATATTTACTAACACTGGGGGTCTGATCCAGAATGGGCCATGTTACCTTTCTGGGGCTCATTCTCTAATAAATTAGGGATAATAACAGTAAGGTCGTGAGAAGTACATGAAATCAAGTATCTACATACAGCATTTAGCACAGTTTCTGCCTCACAGTAACCTCTCAGTAAAGTAAGATGAATGAGTGGGGGGGACCTCATCTCTGTCCACAAGGTGGGCCTCTGATGACTGGCCTAATGAGGGAGGCAGCCCAGCTGACCCCTGTGCGGCACGCTCCGCGCCTCTTCCGCCGGCACCAGGGCGCGGCGGTCCGGCGGCACGCTACGGTCTCGGGCAGAGGCCCCGAAGACCCCGGCCAGCAAGCCGCTGCGGAGCGGGGCTCAAGAGGTGCGCCCCGAGCCGTCAGCCCGCCCGCCCGCCTGCACCGGGGGTGCTTACCTGCAACTTGCCCTGCCCCTCTTTCTACGCAAGACCCGGAAGTAGATCGGCCTTAGCGGGGGAGGGGGCGCTTATTGACACCGGAAGCGACTGTACAGCAAACATGGCGTCGGTGGTGCGGGCCCTGAGGACTCGGGCGGCTGGTAATGAACCCTCTGGCTGTTGTGGGCGAGGGGTGGAGGCAGAGTGGAGACCTTGCAAGGAGTCTGGGGGTGGGGCGGGTGGAGGGCGTTCCCTGCGGAGAGCCTTGCGTACGGCGTGGTGGTAGTGTGCAGGGCCCACGAGGTTAGAGGGACGGCTGTCGCTGAACACGTGACATCTAGGGCTCCGAGCCCTGGGTGGCTGTTCGGGAAGCACGTGTCCTTCCCCTGCTTCCCTAGCGGTTCGCAACCTGAACACGCCTCTTTCCTTCTCTGGGTTTGTTTGGACTCCGTCTATGAAAATAGGTTGCTAATATTGGCACACTGGAACTCGAAAAATTGATCCATTCGTTCAACGGGTTGAGAGGTCTTTGTGCCAGTCACTGTGGTAGATGTTTCAGCACAGGAGGTGAAGAAAGGCTCCATTCTCTGGGCTATTCTTTTTAGTAGAAAAGTCAATAAATGAGCACATACGTAAAATGTAAATTGTGACAATTTACACAATTGCTGTAAATAAAGCAGAACTATGGGTGTGTGTGTCTTTTTTCTGGTTTGGGTAGTCAGGGAAATCCTCAGAGGAGGTAACGTCTTAAGACTTGAAGGATGATGAGAGGCCTAGCTGGTCCTGTAGGAAAATGAAGGGCAAGAGAGTGCACTTGATCCAATCTTACATTTTTGAAAGCAAACCGTTGCTCTTAAACGGGAGGTAAGAGAGGAAATCAAGGAACCAGATGGGAAGCTGTAATAGTGGCCCTGATGAGAGGTGATTTAGCTCAGATGTTGGCAGGATCAGTGAACTTGGAGGGAAATGGATGGATTTGAGATTGTTTTGAAGACAGAATCCACAGAGCTTGCAGGTGAACTGGATACATAAGGTGAGCAAAGGTGAGAAATCTGCAATGACTCCTTAATTTCTGCCTGAGCAACTGCATAGGTGCTAATATCATTTACTTGGAGGAGGAAGATGAGAGTAGAGTAAAGGGCAAAAATTTGTTAATAAGATAATGTAGGTAAAACTAAGCTTAGTAAGTGAGTGAATGAACAAATGAGTAGGTGTGTTTAAGGGTAGGTGGATCCTGCCGCTGGGCATTTAACATGTTGTCTTTCTAAGTCCTTATTTCTGGTCTTTTGCCCCAGCTAGTCTCTGTTCTCATTAAAACTTAAGAAACCTAGGCTCCAGGAACTCTGAACTTTTAGTCTTCAGAGACCCACAAGGCTTCTTAAAGACTCTTGGCATGGCCCTGATTAACCATGGCTGTGTCTGGAGACCTCGAAGGCAAGGACTGCCAGCCCTGGGCTTGTCATATAGCAAGGGGCTTCCATCTTGGTTAGTATGAATATTAGTTCATTTTCCTTTTTAAAATAAATGCCATTGAACACTTTGGAATGAATCTGTAGAGATTAACAGGGCAGGGAGTCTTCTTGGTTGTACCTGTGCTTAATGGGCTTGCCAGTGAAATGGCTAGGAGGCTGTTGGAGCCACCCTGAGAGAGCCCTTTTGTTTACATGTGTCCGGTGTGCAGTGAATAGGTGGCCGGCTAAGAAAGTGGTGGCTTAGGCCACAGCAGGAGTCTCTGGGTGTCCTGTTAATGGGCCCTGTGGTCTGGCTTTCCACAGTGCATGGAGCCTTGAGGGCATGTGGTAAGTGAAGCTGAAACAAGCAGCTCTGTGGTATCCTCTTGTTGGCTTCTGGTTCTTTGGTGTTTGTCTCTCCTCAACAGGACTGATGTGTCAGGACCCAGGGCACATGGTGTTTATTATTTTTTTTCTTGTAATATTTCACTGTCATCCACCCTGCCCCCAGTCACCCACAGGCATCTCATGCAGTGCTTACACCCTGGAAATACAAGGAATGATTTATTCCCCATCATGGGAGAAGGCCAAGGACTTCCAGACACTGCCTGAAAGTCAACACAGTCAAGTGGCATTTCTGCACCCGTATCTTCCTCACCTCCCTAGCCACTACTGCCTGCCACCTCTCAGCTTAGCCAATGGACTACTGAGGCAGAGAAAGAGAGTCTGATTGGGTGCCTTTCTGTATAACATTCTGTTCTTTCTGTAGTTACAGCCCTGCTGAGCCCACCTCAGGCTGCAGCTCTTGCTGTCAGATATGCATCCAAGAAGACAGGTGGCAGCTCCAAAAACCTTGGTGGAAAGTCACCAGGCAAACACTTTGGCATCAAGAAAATGGATGGTGAGGGTGCACCTTGGCTTCCGTTTCCCAGCTGTGCACTACCCTGTTGTCCCTGGCTTCCTTTGAAGAGCTGGGAAACCATACAGATTCCTGGCCCTATACTCTCCACTTGGCTCACCAGAGCATTTGGCTCCAGATTAAAGAGGCAGATTAAGACCTGGGGCACGGGGGTGAGGGGTGGGTACTGAGAAAGAGCAAATAGCTGTAAGCCTTGGCCATGCGACTGGAGAGAGGAGGCTGCTGGGTGGTGGATGGGGCTGTTTCATGGGACCATCTGGGAGTTGGTTTTATCAAGGGGCAGGCTTTGAGGTTGGTGCGCACTATTTGGGCTGGGAAAGAGAAGGCTGTCATGTTTCCTTAGCAGTCTGCTGTGCTGCCCCATCACAGGGGCCCAGTCAGTGAACTTGTGGACTTCTCTTCTAGGTCACTATGTTCATGCTGGCAACATCCTTGCGACTCAGCGCCACTTCCGTTGGCATCCAGGTGCCCACGTGAGTTGCCCTGTGGCCCTCCCCCTTTTTTTCTTTGGTAGGACCACCTCTCTGCTCCTAAGCACAGTAATAGTAACAGAACAGTTGCATTTATTGGGTGCTTATCAAATGCCAAGCATCATGCTAATACCTGGGCCTACATTATCTCATTTCATTCTTACTCCATTCCTGTGAGGTAGTAGGTCTCATCTTCATTTTACAGTTAAAATGCCAGAGACTTAGTGTAGGGGCCCAAGTGCCCGGGCTTGGAGTTGAATCAGGTCTGCTTGCCTCCCAGTTACACTGTGTTTTGCCTTGGGTGAAGCATTGGCCTTGTTCTCTTGGGTCTCCTTTCTAACCCCCAGTTCTTGGAGGAGGAGATGCCTGGTGATTCAAGATATGTTCTGAATCTTGCAAAAGTAATTTCAACTTATTCCTTTTCCCTTAATAATTCATCCGCCCTTGCATAAAGTTAATAAGTGACTGAAAGAAAGCATGAATGTAATAGAATCCAATGTGTGCTAGAAATCAGGTCCATAGTGGGCAGGGATTTCAGTTTCAGCAAGTTGGGGGTTACTTTCTGATGTACCAAGTTCTTTGTTAACATACATCTATACTATACTCTTCACATTATTTTAAATATTAGTTCAGTTTCTTTTGTTTATAATCAATCCTCCACCATCACCCACTGCCCCTTTTTGGCAATTTCAGGAGGCACAGAAAGACTGATGGGAACCTACAATTATTTCAAAAATGCTAATTTTTATGTGAACTGATTGTATTTGTAGTAGCTTTATCTTTTAGAACTTGAGATATTGGACATGTGGCTATGTTAACTCTTGGAACTTAGACAATAATGATAATAATGGTAAAAGTTAACATGCTTCAAGCTAGGTGGCATTGTAAGCTCTTCATGATTGTTAACTCATTTGATCCTTGAGGTGACCCTGTAAAGTAGTTAATATTATCCCCATTTTGCATGTGAAAAAACTAACACACAGTAAAGTAAAGTAACTTGCCAAGATCATACAATAGTAAGTGGTAGTGCTAGCATTTGAACCAGGCATCCTCACCCCAGAGCCCATCCTTTTAATCAGAGAAATACTGAATAAAGCTGGACTACCTGGGTAAAAACTGCCACACATTCAATATCAAGTTCTAAAAGAAAAAAGCTAAAATGTTTATAGAGTCCATTGTTTATTTAATCTCCTAGCTGGTATTTCTCGTCTGAAAAACAGAGTTAGAAATAGTGCCCACTTAACAAGGTAATAATTAAGTGAGTTCATATATGTAAAAGGACTTGTAACAGTGCTTATAAAGTAAGCACTATATAAGTATTAGCTGATAGCATTGTTGTTTTATTGGCATATGCATTATCTATATAGCTTTGCTCTGTACTTTCCAGAAAGCTTAAACTTTATAGTTTGAAAATGTGTATAGATGAAAATGTGTATCAAATATATGTCAATGCACATCAAACTAATGTTTAATATAACAACTTCCCAGGGGCAGTGATGAGGGGCATCTTTCTATTGTGGCTTCTGGCCACTGCACAGACATGGATCCAGGTATCAGCTGTCAGGGACTGAGCAACTACCAGGATTGGCTATTGAAGATTTCTTTCCCCTGCTTTGTCACAGAGTCAGTAAAGTAGAAAGCAAAGAAGCTCCAAGTGCAAGTGGTGGGAAAGGGAAACCCAAATAGAGCTTTCTGAACTCTCCCCTTCAGCCCCAGGGCCTGAATCCTTCTGAGAACTATCCTGAAGCCCTGGGATGGACCACCTGGCTGGGTGTCCGACTGATCAGCTCTTGTGTTGCAGGTGGGGCTGGGGAAGAAGAAGCACCTGTATGCCCTGGAGGAGGGGGTAGTCCGCTACACTAAGGAGGTCTACGTGCCCAGTCCCAACAACTCAGAGGCTATGGATCTGGTCACCAGCCTGCCTAAGGGTGCTGTGCTCTACAAGACTTTTGTCCACGTGGTTCCTGCTAAGCCCGAGGGCACCTTCAAACTGGTAGCTATGCTCTGAACTCCTGGTTGAGGCCATTGGACAGAGACTTTGAAGTCCAGGTGACAGGAGTGGGTGGTACCAGAAGTCAAGGACTGGCGTGACAACAAGTCTGCTTTGTGGTGATTGCAGAAGGATTCTGAGAAGTGACTGGGTGGGAAGCCCATTGGGAAACCTGACCTGAAACCAAAAATAAAGTTAGCTGGGGTCATAAGTCTATGCTTTTGGGGATGGAGCTGTTTACTGATTTGTTGGTCCTTATTCATGTTCTCCAGTGCACTCCAATGGACAGCCTCAAAGCAGGAAGAAGCCTATCAGAGTGAGGAAATGAGAAGAGAGGGCTTGGAGGGGGTTGCTTTAGCACCATCCCCAGAGAGGAAGGAAGAGATGGGTTTGTGCTTAAGGGCACCACTGCTCCTTCACCTCCTAGACCCCACACAGGCTGAGGGCCATCTAGGAGGAGTGGGGTGGGGGCCAGTAGAGGAAGCAACACTGTCACATTCCTCTCCTGAAGCCATATTTAGAGGGGGCTGGGGTGCCAGCCCCAGGAATGGCTACATGGCAGACCCCTCCCTGCCTCTGTGGGTCCAGGGCAGAGAGGCCCAGTCTGCCGTGGAATACTGAGGTCCTTCCAGTTAGAGGAAGCAACACTGTCACATTCCTCTCCTGAAGCCATATTTAGAGGGGGCTGGGGTGCCAGCCCCAGGAATGGCTACATGGCAGACCCCTCCCTGCCTCTGTGGGTCCAGGGCAGAGAGGCCCAGTCTGCCGTGGAATACTGAGGTCCTTCCAGTGATGAGGCAGAATGGGTGACGAATGGGCTTCTGCCTGTTCACCGGGAGAGAGACACCAAGCTCACATTCTTGTCTGGTTCCTGGTTTATCTCAAACCACACACAGCAGCAAAGAATCAGGCTCCAGGGATCCTCAGCCTGGGCCTAGAGTGGGCTGGGGGCCAGCCTTCATTGTCAGCCCAACCCAAGACCTTTAGAGGCATGGCTTTTGTCACTGGGAAGGTCTCAGCTGGGACAGAAGGTCTTCTGGCCATTGGAGGTAGGTGGTGTTGGCTGCAGCCCCAGAGAGGGGCTTGTGGAGTCCAGTGGCTTCCTTCCAAGGACTCTTCTCTGTCCTGAAAACAGTTCAGCGATCGAGGGCAGAAAAACGTCTTGCAGTTCTGGAGGTCTGCCTTGCACTTGGCACTTTGTTCTCTTGGCCGGACCCCAGATTCCCCACCTCCTGCGGATCATGGTGAAGGTGATCTGGAGTTTATTGATGTTCTTTGGCTTCCTTTTGTGGGATCTCTTGTACCAAGGTCCAGCTGGGGAGATGGGTTGGGGCGTCTCCTTGGGCTCAGTGTGTCCCTGCCACTCTCCTGGAGAAGCAAAGTGGAGGAGGAGGTTCTCTGCTACACCATAGTGTTTCCCTGAGCAGGGCAGGGGACTGCTTCCTGCAGTGGGTGAGCAGAGCCATGGCTGGATGGTGGTGCAGGCAGTGACCTAGGGCCTCCTTGTAGCTTGGTGGCAGCTGGAGGGGTAAGAGAGTGAAGGCATTAGCCATTCCCTGCCCCCGGCCCTCACCCCTTAAACACATGACCTTTCTTTGGACTACTGCTTTCTCCATCCCCTCTCTCAGTGATGTTACTTCCTGGAAAGAAGTTGAGTCCTAGAGCTGTTGGCCTCACAGAAACCCTTTTGTGGGAGGCTGCCCTGAGTCACAGGCCTTCCCGGGCTGGGGTCTACCCAAAGAGGTGAAGTGGGGACTCCAGCCAAATCCTGGGGCTCTACTTCAGTTGTCCTTTCCTTGTCCTGGCCTGAGGGGCTCTAACTGGGCATTGTGTGTAACAATAATACAGAAAAAGCTCAGGTCTCCAGGGGTCCCAAGGCTGGGAGTGCCGAACATTGACCTCTCTGCAGTCCCAGAGCCCAAAGTACTGTGCAGTCAGCTGGTGAATCTGCTGCTGCTTGTCCTTACGAACTCTCATGGCTGGGCAGGCGAGCCAGCCGCAACAGGGGCAGCCGGTAGCTGCGGGGTAGCCCCATGCAGAATACCTTGTTCCCCTGGGGATGACCCTGTAACTAAGAAAAGCCAAGGAAGTCAGGCAGGCATGCACAGCTCTTCTCCAGGTTCCATCTGGACCCTCTTCCCCAGGGTGGGCCTGAGATTAGGGTACTACATGCCTTCTTCCTCTCCTGGAATTCTAGGCTTTATCCCATCCTTCCCCTAGCCATGCCAGGCCCCTGGCTGGCTCCACCCCTAGCACATATCTCCCCTCATTCCCAGGTGGCAGCCCCAGGAGTCCTCCCTTGCCTGCATCCCCCAGGACTCTTGGGATGGACGTTTCCACTACCTGGACCTCGGAGGGGAGTCCCATGGTGCTAAAGTGGGGAGTTGGGCAGGCCTGGAGATCATGCAGAATGACTCAAAGTGAAGCTCAGGATTCAGGGTCAGTGCCAAGAGAGCAGAGCCCAAACCCTTCTGTCTCCATGTCCTTCCCATCCCTTTAGTTCTCTGTACTGAATCCAAGGCACATAGCTCAGACCGTTAGCATTTCTGGAATGCACTCAGGTGTAAAGAGATTCCTCTTCTGTCTGGCCGCTAGCCTGCTCTCATGATCTGGCAGTCAGCTCTGGTGACCTTTGGAGGCATAATCAGAGAACCACCCATCCCCAGTTCTCCATCTCCATCTTGTCTGCTGCCCAGAGTTGGGGAGAGTGGGGTGTCAGAGCCTGGGCAGGTTGCAGGTCAGATTTCTCTTGCTTTCCATACCCAGGATCCCATATGGTGCCCATCCCTGGAGTGAGAGGACTGATGGTACTGCCATTGTCAGTTCCCACCCCCAGAAGCCAGTGCTCTGGACCTTCCCCTGGGGGCTAGGGAGAAGGTGGGTCTGCAGTTGATTGGAGAGGTGGGAAAAGACCATTGTCTTCATCAGCGGCTCTCAGCACTGGGCTCTGTCTAACAGTGGCCAGGAAGGAGGCTGGCAAGGATGTTTTAACCCTTCCTGCACTGCTGCCCTGGCCCTGAGGGAGCCCAGGCTGAAAGATGCCAAGTCTACAGAGTCGATTCTGAAGGCCCGTTCCATACTGAACAGCTGTTTCTCCTTGGAGAGCGAGCAGGTACCCTTTTGTTGGGATTGGGGAAGAGGGGCATTGGGATGGGGTTGTTGGGAGGGGTACTCACGGACTGGCGAGGGCTCTGGAGGAAGTGGAGGAGCAGAGGACCTGGCAGCACCGGGGCTCCCACTGGCGCAGCAGCAGTGGTGGCGTGGCCATGATGAGTACCGAGGATGAAACGACCCTCCCCCAGCGACCGTCAGGGGTTCAGCCTGCCCCCGGCCTGCATGGGCGCATCATGCCTTCCTAGACCGGAATTCCCCTCCAGAAGTTAGGTAGAAATGACCTGGGTGGGTCTAGTATCAGCCTGACAGCAGGGGGACCTGGGGTGCAGGCAAGTCCCTTTTTGCTGCTACATCAATCAGGTGGATTCAAGAGGGAGAGCAGAGCAGCTTTACCCTGCTTTCTTCAGCCCAGGGGAAAAGCAATGTGTGGGGGGTTCAGGGAGTGGAAGTAACATGTGGCTGGGGCAGACACCCTCTGAAACAAGATGTGAAGAGGCGGGGGAGGCTTTCAAAATCAGGACTCAGCTTCCTGGTGCCCAACCCCTCTTCTACCATCATAGACAAGAATCATAGAGCTTGGCAGAGCAGGGGCCTTGGAGATTATAGGCCAACCATATACAACATTCTTCCCATTTGCTCTAAGTGACTGTGAAGAGGCTGGGCTTCCTGCCTATGGTGAGGGTTCAAGGGTGCATCTGCCCCAACCCTGGGACTTGGGACAGCGGTATGTACTCACCAGGGGCCACAACTATAGCCAGGAGGCTGTTGTCCATAGTGATCTCTGCACATAGAGCAGCAGTGGCAGAGGGGTGCCAAGAAAGGACACTGGCCTTGGGTGACCTTGAAGATAGCCAACAGGGCCACACGATTGGGTCCACCCAAGAACCCTGGCCTGGAAGAGCAACTTCATTTAGAGCCAGCATATCTGTGAGCAGCTCTCCGGTTCTCAGCTTCTGCCCCTGCTTGTTCTGATTGATACTATGCCAGGACCTAGTGTCCCATAGATGGCATGCTTCTACAGGCCTGGCAGCCAGCCACTAGGGTCTCTACAACCTTCAGGAGGGGCTGGCGGGAACAGGCTCTGCTTCTGCTAAATCTGACAGCTAGGGGAGCTCCAACTCATTCAGATCTCTGTGCTTCTCAGTCCCAGATCCCCTCCCAGCCTGACTGTGCCCCCTCCGTTTCCCATTGGCCCAGGTAAGGCTCTAGATGCCGACTGGCTCGCCTCTGGTCTTGACTGTCACCTATAATGGAGCTGAGTTGTCCATGGTTGCCCTGGAAAGCGGGCATGCGGGCCACAAAATGTAAAAGCCTCTCTGCCCAGGTGCGTCCCAGTCCTCCAAAGGAATTATTGTACAGCTGCAGGGGCCCAGCTCACCCCCACCCCTGCATCCAGCCGGGTCAGAATCCTGGTTTTGGCCCCAGGGGCCTAGCCAGGGGAGCATTTCAAAGAAGACTCAAAAAGCCCAAGCCTCCAGGCTGAGCTAACCCTACAGAAAGGATGGGCAATGCTATCAGCAGAAGAGCTACTCACAATGGCCTCAGTAACCTGAATGGGGAAGGGAGCGGACTGGAGAGGAGGGCTTCCTCCGCTATGCCTGCTCTTTGCCTGTTAGGGGTTGTAAAGCCTGGTCCTGCAAAGCTTCTAACTTATGCAGCCAAGACGCACCTGCCAGAGCAGTGGGCCTGGGGCTGTTCTTGGTAGTAGTTCTCACTCTGGCAATCACCTGGGCCAACTCTGAACCCACACCACTGTTAGGTCGCCACCTCAGACCAATTAACGCAGAACTCTCAGGAGGATGACAGCCACTGGAGTAAAAGTGCAAACTCATGTTCACAGGAGGTGACGATAATGAGTAACTAACTTGGTGTGATCAGGTGGCAGTGGCAGGGGCTGAAACAGAATGCATCTTGCCTAGGCTCAAAAGTTAAGATTCTGAAAACTATTGTGCTAACAGTAGCATAATCACAGCTTGGGTGAAACCTGCAGGCGGATCTGAGTCCTTAGCCAACAGTGTAAATGTTCTATTTACAGCCTGTGCCTAATATGCTGAACCCAATTATTAATTTTTCTTTTTATTGACCTAAGAGTAGATGTAAAATAAAAAATTGTAAAGAACAAGAGTAGAGTTTAAGATATTCGCTAAAATAGGAGCCATCAAAAACAGAAGAGCTAGGAACCAGAAAGAACAGTTATTTAGCCCTGGAACCCAAACAGTATTCCCTTGGAATTCTTGCTATTAGCTCCTTCCTGACTACCTGCCCTTAGGAGGGCAGGAGAACGGAGCAACAGTGTGGATGCAGGTGAAGCCTGCTGCCAACAGCAAACAGCTGTGACTTTGGCACATCATTTCAGTCACCCAGTGTGCTGAGTGAAGATAATTAAAGTGCCCGCCTTAAAGGGTTGTGTGGATTAAATGATACTGCACGCAGGGTCAGCACTGTGGCTACCAACCAACTCCACCGCTGTTATCGGTGGGCAGGGTGCCCTCTCCTGGCAACCAGGAAAGCTTGCCACATGGCAGCTTTGGCAGGGAACTGAGACCTCTGTGCCCCATGCTGAGCTGCCCAGGTCAGTGTGACTGATAGGTGGGGTGATTGTGAAGGTCTGTGAAACCTCCCTCCCTCCGATGTGAAGGAAGGTGTGAAGGACTGACGACACTGCACATTTACTGACAATGGCAGGAGAGACAGAAAGGGCTTAAGGAGGGAGGCTGGACAAACCTCTCCCATATGCCCTCCCGGGTCCCAAGCCCCACTGCTGCTCCTGCCCATAAAGGGCCAAGCTCCACCAGTAACCACCAGACCATGGCTGGGACTGCTCGTTTTTGAGGGCGCTGTGTAACTCAGCGTTGGGTGGGAAGCAGAGTGAGGAGGGCTTCTGGGTGGGCCCTGGTGGTGCCAAAGGTAGAGGAGCCAGCATCTGCCATGGCCTGTGGCAGGGGAGGAAGCGCTGGGTCAGGACTCTCAAGAACTAATCTGGCTCCCCTACTGGCCTGCTGGGTGGTTCTGAGGAAGTCTCTAAGCCTCTCGAGGCCTGCTTACCCCTCAGAAACCAAGGGAGCTGGATTACACAGGTTCTTGCACCCCTTCTAGGTCTTGGGTGGATTCTGAACTGTTGCCGCTTTGGGGTAATGAGCCCCTCTCCTCCTCATGACTGCCAAAGTACCAACCAAGACTTTTAGGAGAAGGCCTAACAGTGATGGCTCCCAACACCCAGGAGGAAGGACACAGAGGCTCAGCTTAGAGAGATAGAGATATATTTCTTCTGTTGCATATTTCCGACTTCACATTGAGCTTCAGGCACAATGCTGCCCCAGGTTCTTCTGAGAGCCCTGAGAGAGTCTTCTTCCCACACTGCTCCCAAGGGCTCGCCCCTCCAGGGCGGGTGCCCAGGCCCTGCTTGCAGTTCTGGGTACCTGGGAGACTCTGCACTGGTCTCAGTAGGCCCTGGTGCTCTGCCTTTCGCATAAAGGGGCAGGTTATGCTGGAAAGCCCTAAAGCCAGCCCCACCCCCTCTTCTGTGGTCCCCTGGCTAAAAGAGGGGAGGCTGTCCCCTAGAGTGCTCCCTCCAGGCCTCAGAGCCTGGCACAGCACTCACACCCCTGCAGAACCTCAGCCTGAAGCACCACAGGCCCAGGCTCGGGGACGAGGCCCTGGAGGGTGAGGCAGGCCCAGCCTCCTCAGAGCGCAGCAGATGGGTTCATCAGGCCCCTGCTCCCCAGAGCCGTGGCCTATTTCTTGGGGCTGCTCTGAGCCCTATTGCACGTTTTGTGTTTCCAGTTCCTTCCCCCACCACCCATTTTCCTTCAAAAACAAAACAAAACTAGAAGGAAAGGTAAGGAAGAGTGGGACGTGGAAACTGGAACCCTTCTCCCCATCTTCCTGCCAACCTCTGGTCCTAGCAGAGCCATGAGCAGTAGTAAATACCACATCCATTCTCCCTGCCATCTGTGCGGGTTCTGGATGCCTGACATGGGTGTACTGCCTGGGCCTCTGGTTCTGGCCTATGGGAGGAGACACCCCTCCATTGTCTGTAAGGTGCAATCCCCGGATCTCCCCGGAGGCGCTGGCTGGAGGCCTGCTACCTGAGTCGCCCGTCTGCTTTGACAGGCCCCAGCTCTGATTTAGGGTCAGGGAACAGAGAGCTCCAGCTGGTCACTTTGCAGAGCTCCAGAGAGGGGCAGGAGGAGGGGCCCATGGCACACAGTCCAGCCACAGACCAGAAGCTGCTCAGTTCCCCATCTGTCCAGGCCTCGAGGGCAGGGCCTGTGAGCTCTGAGTGCCGCCGGGCAGCCTCCTCCGCGGGCTCTGGCTGAGGCAGGTTCAGGATGCCGCTCAGGCCCTGGAAACTCTGCTCCATATACTCGTTGTGGGGTGGCCCGGCGTGCAGCCAGCTGGCATCATCTGGGGGTGCAGAGCAGGCAGTAAGTATGCCCTGTCCAGTGGATTCCATGAACACCACACCCTGGGAGTCAGGTCTGGGCACCCAGTTCCTGTCCCAACTACCACTGTGTCGCATCTTGCTGAGTGACCTGTGACCTTGGGCCAATCCATGGAACTTTCCTATAAACCTATTAGTTTTATAAAACCCAGACAGTAATCCCTGAATTCTCAATTTGAGGATTAAGTGGGTTGAAGGCTCTTGAGAAAACAAGGTAACTTTCCCATGAGGGTCTGGTGTGTGTCACGCATGCTCCTCTTCAACCACTCTGGTGGTTCCCAGAGCCGCCAGAAGCCTCGTACTCAGGCCCTCCAGCTGTGGGGCCCTGTTTAACTTCACCAGCTTTCCTTCCTGCCACCCCCCTGCATCCTGCTCCCCTTGGCTCTCTGATCCCATCATGTACCAGGTACCTGCCAGATTTGTTCCCTCACCTTAGAATGCCCTTCCCTGTATATAAAAACCCAGCTCATTCAAGCCTCAGCTCCTCCATTCTTCCTTGCTGTCTCCTTCATCAGGCTGCAAGTCCAGGGAAAGCAGGGGGTGGCGCACCTGCTCTGGCTCTGCCACAGCCCCGCCCCAGTACCCCATCCTCTGCGTGACCCCTGCTCTGACCTACCTTCCCTGTGACAGGATGTGGCCAGAGGAAGGAAAACATCTACCTATCTATTGAGCACCTACTGCATACCAGCCACTTTTACCCACATACTCATCCCTAGCATCTCCCAGAGGGAAGTAACTTGTCTTAGGCACTCCTCGTGGGAACCTGCAGCCTCTGCCTGTGTTCTGAGTCTGCTCCCTTAGCCTCAGCCAAGTGGGGAGAGGGCCGTGACCCTGTCTACCTGGCCACACAGTGGACTGGGATGGCCAAGGAGGTCCCAACCATGTGGATCCTGGGAACCAAGAAGCTCAGGGCAGTCTCTATTGCTCTGAGAGGCTACGTATCATGTATTGAGAAGCCAGAGCCTGACACACACAGCACAGGATGAGGACAAGAGGGCTCCAGAGAGACAGACAAAGCACTTCTGGTTCCAGTGAGACCAGAGACATTTCCTGGGTTCTCAGGGAGAGCCCTGCATTCTTTCAATAATTTCTCCAACAATTTTACTTGAGCTACTTTAAATGGATTTGTGTTCCACGTACCCAGGAGTCTCCAGCAGCTGTATTACTCCTACTTTAAACATACTAAGACTGAGATTCAGAAAAGCCAAGGAATTTGCCAAGAATAAAAGCCTAATTAAAGTGTCAGGGCTACATTCCACAGCCAAGTCTGCCTGACTCCAAACTTCCCTTTCTACCACACGACTGTGCAGGGCCCAGGATGCTGAGGAATAGACTACCAAGGCCCCAACCTCCCCTTCCCCTACTCTAGGGATGGGGATGAGCTCTGATGGCTAGCTTCTTGGCATCACTGGCCTGATGAATCCTATTCTTTCTGGCATCTAACATCATTGGGAACTAGATCCTTACCTTTCCTGAGAGGTAGTTTGCGGTTGAAGGTCAAGGGCAGCACGAGGAAGCGGATCTCGCCCAGGGGTTCCCAGAACTGAAGCAGTCGAACAGTCCAAGCCCCTGGCCGCAGGGGCCGGCTCAGTGGGGGTTTGTACTGTGTAACCTCAGTCTCTGTGTCTACTGTGATGTCATAAGATGTGGCCACGACATAGGTGGGGTCGATCCACACCACAGTGGCTGTGAGGTTGGGGCCCCGGGCCCAGCGCTGCATGGCTACAGGCTCGTCCAGTGGCCCCAGCAACCCCCCAAAGTTCCGGAAAAGACGCTCTTTGGGGTCCCACTCGGTGCCAACCTGTAGGGAGGGAGGCAGCTGGGCAGAAGTCTGGGGGAAAAGTCCTTCTCTCTACTCTGATGCTGACTCTAACTCACTGTGTGACTTCAGGCCAGTGACTGTCTCCTTCTGGGCCTCAGTTTCCCCCTCTGCACAATGAAGGACTAGGATTTCTTCTTATCTCTCCCAACTCTGAAGTTGGTTCTAGGCTCCCATTGGTACCTGCTCTGCAGTGGTGGGGGCAGTAAGACAGAGATGAGGTTCACAGCCCTGCCCAGAGACCATCCCCACATGAAGCCAAGGCCTGAGAAACAGACTGGTGGAGACACTCAAAGGCCTAGACCATGGCCTGGATGGAATGTCCAAATCCCTCTGGAAGAAAATCCCTGTAGTTTGAAAGTGTGAGCTTGTGATGTAGTAGAACTACAGTCCCCTCCCTGCTCACTATGCATCCTTGTGCCCCCATGGCAGGGTCTCCTCAGTGTGCAGATGCAAAGGTGACACAGGCATATGCACAGGACATCACCCAGGCTGCCACTGCCTACCCTGTCTTTACCCCTCTCTTGGTATCTGCCATCTCTTCCCACTACCCTGAGTTTTGCTGGGGTCAGGAGAAAGCAAGGGGAGGACCTGTCCCACCTCCAAACTCTGGAGCCGGCTGGCCTGGTCACTGCGCCCCAACAGTTTCAGCGACCCCTGGGGCATCAGCCACATCTCAAGTGTCTCTGCCGGCACCTGGGCTGAGGGCTGCACCGCCTGTGTCACCAGGTAGCCCTGGAAATGGTCGTCATAGAAATAGAGATGCACGCTGGACGGCAAGCCCCTGGGCTCAAACCTAAGAAGGTTCCAGCAGGGAGAAAGGGAGAGGCCATCAGCAAACCTGACTTGGCCTGAAGTCCCAGGGAGAGGGCTGTGGGGCGTCCCATCCCCAGGAGCCACATCCTCTGCCACACATCTCATGCCCACAGCTCCTATATGCCTGGCTCTGGCCATCTTTATCTGCATTTTTCTCTCCCTCAGAATGGGGGCACCCCAGGGGGAGGGGCTGTCCCTTTTTGATTGGCCTCTCCATAGGGCACCACACCCCGAGGGTCTGCAGTATGTCAGGAGGTCTCACCTGCAGAGTGCGGTGGCCAGTGGGGGCGCAGCAGTGGCGACATGGCTCAGGCTGAGGCGGGCAAAGGCGGAGTAAGCAGTGAGCATGACATCACTGAGCCCACTGGGGCCATCGGCCACGTCATAGGTGTTCTCCCAGTAGGCTTTGAGGGCTGGTGTGCCTGAGGGATAGCTGCCATACAGGTGGAAGTCCAGGATTTCCAGTACCTCCTGGTTGACGGTGGACTCAAACTTCCGGGCGAAGAAGGTGGGTCTGGAGACTTGCTGGAGTGGGAGAGGCGAGGAGGGTGAAGGGTCTGGAGGACCCAGAGAGCACGGCTGGGGAGTGGGCCTCTTCCAAACTGCCCACAGACCTGCCTCCCGAGGCTTTTCCTGCCACCACTGTAACCCCAGAGCCCCGAAGGCTGCTCCAGAGGAGGCCCCCAGACTCTCTGACTGGCCCACCCTGAATCCTTTTGACCCTGGAAAGCATAAAGTGAACAGCTTGGGGCAGCCCTAGCCAGGGGGCCCGGGAAAGCACCTGCAGCCGCAGGAAGTCCTGCGGCTTGAAGTCGTTGGGGGAGCAGCCACACCAGTCCACGATGTGCTTGTACTGGCACTTGCAGCCCAGTTTGCGGTTCCAGTTGGTGACCCGCAGGTTGTTGTCCACTAGGGTCTCACAGGCCAGGCTGTTCTCCAGCACCGTGTGGAAGAAGGACTGTAGGCAGCAAGGCAGGGTGGCGGGTGGGCTGTGGGCACACCACCACGTACCCTCCTGGCCTCAGTGCGGCCTGGCTCACCCACCTCAGCTGGGAGCAGCGTGTACATGTAGAACTGGCGTAGCTGGGCCACAAGCGGGTCGTCTGTGTACACCACATACTCCACAAAGCTGCGTGTCAGCACGAACCAGTCAGAGCCGCCATCCACCACAATGCCTGCTGGGATCTGCCGCTCGCCCAGGCGCCACATGTGTGAGTCGCACTCATGGAAGAGCCGGTCCAGGCCTTGTTTCTTGATGAACCTGCGGGTGGCAGAGCAGCCATGGCTGAGGGTCGTGCAGGCGGGGTCCAAGCTCTCTCATCTGCCTGGGAACCAGCACTCCGCAGTCTGTGGTTGGCTGTGTTAAGACCCCAGAGCCAGGGCCTCCTCCCTCATCTCACCTGGAGTTGTCCCGGCCATGTGACTTCAGGAAATTCTTGTCTCGGTTCTTGGACAGGAAAGCCACCAGCTCCTCGTTGGTCCTGGAGAGCAAACGGGGTGTGAGCAGCATGTGTGAGGGGACTTGCTCAGTTGGCAGCCCAGGACAGACACCCTCCAGAGTGACCCCCTGCACCCGCCGCCCCCTTCCTTTCTCACTGGTGGCTGTCCTGACCCTGTGCCCTAACCTCGGTTGATGCTGTGAGGTGGCGGGCACCTGAGGGCCTCTAGGAAGAGCACCCTGTCTGACCGTAGCACCCCCAGGTACAGACCTCTCGCTCCCCATCTCTCATCACTGTCAATCCTCACATCGTCTTTCACTAAGCCCTCCCTTAAAATATGGCTGGGCCAAGGGACCATGTCTAGGCTCGATTGACCCCAGAATAAGGCTTGTGGGGGGACAGAGTCCATTAGGACCCTCCAACCCCGAGAACCCAGATGGGCTCCTCCTCCCATCTGCACTCATCTGGAAGGTTCAGAGCACCACCCCACACCTGGTTGGGTAGTCGGTGGCACTGAGGTTGATGAAGAAGTCCCAGGCCCAGCCAGGCACCTCCAGCAGGTCCTGCATGCTCCGCAGATACATCCTCAGCAGGCTGGCCCCACCCCAGATGGTGACCATGCGCCAGGAAGTCACCCGCACATTATCATACTGCTGGGCCAGCTCCACCACCTCACGGTGCAGGTAGTTGGAGCGCTGCAGGATGGGGTAGGGGGTGAATATCAGGAGCTGTAAGTGAACCCCCAGCATACAGCCTCCCCACCCCTCCCCAACCCTGGACAGAATGCATCTGTCATGGAAGGGAGAGCACAGGGTAGGGTTCTAGCTCCTAACTGGCCATGTCACCTTGTGCTGGCTGCTCCCCCATCCTAGGCCTGTTCCCCTATCTCTGGCCCACCTGAGCAGGTCAGAGACCTGTCTGTTGGTGGCCTTTCTGCTCTGCTCAGATTCCTTTAGTCTCCTCCCTGCCTCCCTCCCAGCCCCACAGTACCTTGTCCACATGGATATAAAAGAAGTGCTGCTCATGGTAGACAGCCTTGAGGAGACGCTTCAGCTGCCGGATGGCGCGGCCATGAACCACCAGCATATAGGCGATTCGTACTGGGGGGCCATCCATGGGCAGCTGGGCCCGAACCTCGTCCCACTGGACACCAGGACTCATCTTCCCTGAGAGCAGAGAACGGGAGCATCAGCGAGGCCCCCACCCCAGGTCACAGAGTGGAAGTGAGATGGGAAGAGGGGGCCGCCAGGGTTCCAAAGGAAGAACCCTAGATTTGGAGCCCCGTGCTCCTGGGCCCCAGGCTGCCTCTGCCACTTTGTGCCTTTATCACCAAGTTGGCCAGGGAGGTGGGACCCCTGAGCTTTCTTCCTCTGAGAAATGGGAGTGGGGAGCCCTGCCATGCCACCTCTCCACCCATGCCTGTCTCTTACCAGCCAGCTGGCAGTGCCGGGGCACAGCCTGGGGCATGAGGCTCCCGGCCTGGTGCAGGCACACCACGTTGGCAATCTCCTGTTGGCACTGCTTGGAGCTGGCCCGAGCCAGGGCAGACAGCGCATCCTTGCCCACAATCTCGCACTTGGGGGTGAAGCCGTTGTCTGTGGGCTGGGGGGCACCCTCCACACTCCCTGTGTCTCCATGTGGTGGGAAGCCAGCTGCCCCGACCAGCGACTCCCCGGCTGCCGCCCCACTCAAGTTCTGGCGGCCTGGGGCCTCCGGGGGTGGGGCAGGTGGGACCCGCCTGCTCACTCTGTGCCGGCTGGTTACTGCCCGCACCACCTTGGCCACGGGCACACCTGGGCCCTCAGCGCGGCCCCGCCAGCGTCCATGCCTTCTGCCTGCGCTGCCCCGCCGCCCGGCTGAACTGTCGGTGTCCTTGGAGCCCTCGCCGGGATCCAGCGGTCGCGGCTTCCTCTGCCTTCCTTTCTGTAAGAGGCAGACACAGGTCACTGGGACATTTGCTCTCCTGCTGCTCCTTTAGCTCCCCGCTGGCCTCAGGCCCAGAACCACCTAACATCCTTTACCTAGAGAAGTTCCTTTCATCCTAGGACAGCGCACGAACAGCACCTTTGCTGGGAGGCAACCCAACCAGCCACCCGAGGAAGCCATGTCCTGCTGCCATGACACAGTCACATCCATGTACTCACTATCACAGACCACAGGGCACTTCATGGACTCAGACCCCACTTTCTTTCTCAGTGTATATGAAAAGGAACGGCCACATGTGTCACAAGAAAAGGGTGCAGAGACCCTGCAGAGAATACAAGAGTGTCCACCCAGCACTCCCACCCAAGCCTGGCTGGGACAGACAGAAGGAAAGCATTCTGCAAACTACAGCATTTCCATGTGAGATCACAGAGGCCACAACATCGTGAAAAAGTCTTGCCTGGTGGGCTGGAGAAACCAAACACCCTAATTTTGTTTTGGTTCTCTGGGAGGCAGAGACCAAGATGGTCAGAGTACTGTCTTGATTTTCATTGCGGTAACACCTGTGCACAATGGCGAGTGGGAGCAGAAGTCAGCAGCAAAGCCTCCAGACCGCCAAGCCGGCCTGACACCTGGGCAAGGAGGGGAGGAAGGAAGAGCTTCAGACTGCAGCACGGCTCAGGAAGAGCCCTGGCAGCTAACAGGAAACTCCAGCACACAGACAGCCCATAGACATGAGCCCTTGCACCACTGCCACACTCAGTCCCTGGCCAGGGGCTGCCCAGAAGTGCCTGGCTGTGGCTGGAAGGCGGAGCGGAGCCTGAACGCACCCACAGTTGGAGGCTGGCAACTAACCACTCCCTATGGCAGGTTCATTCTAGAAGGGGAATATGAGTGGTGTGCCTCCATGGCTGCCGCAGTCTGCTTCTGGGCTCCTGCTGCCTCTCTCAAACCCAGGCTCTTCCTCAGATGGCCCAGTCACTTGAAAGGCTCCTCCTCAGCTCTCACTGTCCCCCTATCTTGATTCCCTCTTCCCTGCTTGGCCAAATCTCACCCATCCTTCAAGATCCATTACCAAGTCCCCTTGTGCAAAGCCATCCCATGTGTCACTGTCCCTGGGGCTGGAATGCCCTTCTCTGATGTCCCCATAGCTTGTTCTTTGCCTTTCAGTTCTTCGCTCAGATGGCATCTTCTCAGTAAGGCCCACCCTGACTACTGTATTTAAAACTCCAGCCCTCCCTCAATCTCCACTTTATTTTTCCCATAGCACTTATTACCTTCTCTCATCATAAAATGTACTTATTTATAATGTGTTACTCTATGTCTCTCCCCTTACAAGAATGTAATGTCCATGAGGACAAGGCTTTTTGTTGTTCACTAATGTATTCCTCCGGCAGACTGAGCTCCATGGGGAGAGAAATCATGTCAGCCCATGTCACCAGTGGAATAGCTGGCACAGAGGGGATGAGACGCGGAAGGGATGGAGGAGCAAGAGGCCCTGTGTGACCTCTCTGGAGTCACCTGGGCTCTACTCCTGGCGCAGCCACTTCCTGGCACCTCCCTCTCTGAGCATGTTCCCTCAGCTGTAAAATACAGGAGGGAAGTGTGAGTGTCAAATGAGATAGAGCGTGAGATAGTGCGGCCAGGAGAGGCTGTCTCGCCAGCCGCCCCATTCCTCTCTTGAATTCTCTGTAAGCCCACTCCACGGGTCGCCCCTGACTCCACAAGTGCTACCACCTCTCTTCTGGCTAGACTTTCGGGAGCATGACTTACTGGACCACAGCCTCTCCTTGAAGCGCCCCCGCCCCCCCCCACTGGGCTTCCAGGATGCCCTCCTGCTGTTTCCCCAGCCTCCACGGTCACTCCTTATCAGTCTCCTTGGCTGACTCTTCCTTATCTCCCAAGGCCACCCTGGGGCCTTCCTTGTCCTAGCTTCCCAGCTGGTCTCATTCAGTCTCTAAGCCCCATTCCCCCATTTCCCTCTCTGGCCTGGATTGCCTGGACCCATAGGTGTTTAACTGCCCGCCCCCTTGACATCTCTTCTGGGAGACAGACCTCTCAAATCCACAAGTCCCAAAGCGAACTCTTGATCTTCCTCCCCAACCTGCTTCTACGTCAGTTTTTCCCGTCCTCATGTTGCTCAGGCCACAAACTTTTGGGAGTCATATTTGACTCGTTTCCCTCCCACACTACCCCCAGTCTGTCATCAGTCCCGTTGGGGCTGCCTTCAAGACTCAGCCAGAGTCCACTCGCTCCTCACGGCCCCCATCTCTGCCACCCTGGCCTGGAGCCCTGGTCTCCCCGCTCCTACTCCAGTTTCTGGATAGTTGTTCTCATCCCAGCAGCCAGTATTCCTATTAAAACAAGTGCTGCCACCACTCCTCCACTTGAAATCACACATGGCTTCCCCTCTGAGGGTCAAACCCACGGCCCTTACAGGAGCCTGCAAAGGCTGTGTGAGCTGCGGCTGGATGCCCCCTCCCGCTGCTCCTCCCTTTCCTGACCTCATCTCCTGCTAACCGCTCTTCATGCCCACTCTCCTCCAGCCCAGGGTCTCCTCAGCCTCCCTCCATGCCAGGTGGCACTACTGTCCCTGGGGCTGGAATGCCCTCCTCTGATGTCCCCATAGCTTGTTCTTTGCCTTTCAGTTCTTCACTCAGATGGCATCTTCTCAGTAAGGCCCACCCTGACTACTGTATTTAAAACTCCAGCCCTCCCTCAATCTCCAGTTTATTTTTCCCATAGCACTTATTACCTTCTCTCAACATATAATGTATTTATTTATAATGTGTTACTCCATGTCTCTCCCCTTACAAGAATGTAATGTCCATGAGGACAAGGCTTTTTGTTGTTCACTAATGTATTCCTAGAACCCAGAAGAATGTCTGGCAACTGGAGACCCTCAGTAAATACTTGCTGAGTGAATAAATGAATGAAGTAAAGTTCTTTGCATAGGCCCAGCATTCAATAAATGCTGCTATCCTTTTATTATTAATTAATTATTATTATTTTTGGAAGAGGAGTAGGAAATAGTCAAATGTCATGTCAGGAGAGTGACAAAGGCCCTTAGACACTTGGAACTCTTTTGAGATGAGTTTCCCTGCCCACCCCCTCCCTAAAACATTCCCCCCTCCCATCAGAGCATGGCACACACCTCACATGTCAGTCTCACAGCTACGTTAGGGCCAGAGCCCTATCGTTACACCCTAGCATTCATGCAATCTGTGCCCAGTACCCAGTGAGCCCTCTAATCTCTAGAGGGGTGTCCAATGAGAACTAGGAGGCATCTATTCTGAGAAGCAACACCTGAATGAGGTCTGCTCTCTCCTCCCCACTCTGCCTTCCCTCCTCCCTGGCAACTGGAGACACTCGGTAAATACTTGCTGAATGAATAAATGAATGAAGTAAAGTTCTTTGCATAGGCCCAGTATTCAATAAATGCTGCTATCCTGCAGACCTCTGAGAAGTATTTACTGAGTATCTCCAGTTGCAGGGAGGAGGGAAGGCAGAGTGGGGAGGAGAGAGCAGACCTCATTCTGCACCCGCAGTGGGGAGGGCACCCTGGACTGGGTAGCCCCCAGGAAAGGTGAACACAGCCCCACTGAGCTGAGTGTTTATCACCCTGGTGATGTCTGACCTGGTCACACAGTGGGCAGAGAAACACATGCTCAAGCTTAGTTTATAGAGGTGGCAGAGGAGCTGTGTGGGCTATTGACGTGGAAGCCAGTATCAGCAAGTCAGGAAGCTGGTCAAGAGGGCAGGGCATGGGGCACAGGGCCAGGCTGGCTGTGGTGGGGAACAGGATGTGGGAGAAGATGGGCCAGTTGGTGCCCTGCGCTGCAGCAGGGAGCTGGCTGACCCTGAGAAGGACAATCCCAAAGGAGGCTGGGGGCCGGGAGACAGCAGTGGGGAATTGGGAGGGGGGGTTTCCCAGCAGGCAGTGTGTTCACATGGACATGAGCAGGGCCCCATACTTATATGCCTAGAGAAGCTGTACCCTGTAGTCCCTGAGGTCAGGGTCCCCTCTGATTACTGAGGGTAGGACTGGCCCTCTAACCTTTGGCCTGGAAGCATTCTGGCCTCAGAGGTCTCCTCTTTTCCACGGAGGAGGCATTCAGAGTCCTCTGCCACTTCCTGGCTCTGCAGCTCCTCCCAGACTCCTGCTCTGAGCCCCAGAGTCAGAGAACACAGAAACACTTACCCAGACCCCACCACCTCGAGGCTTCTCCGACTGTATTTAAAGTAAGTGGTGAAGACGATATGAAAGCTTTAAAAACCATAAAGTGGCTCTTTGGATGTTAATGCTCGTCCCTGGTCTCCACTCTAGCCCCTCTAATGTGTCTGAAATGTACATCTGATCCCATTGCTGCTGAAACCCCTTTGGTGCTCTCCTATTGCACTTAGAATAAAACCCTAGCCCCTCACTGCAGTTGCTAGTATGTTCCCTGGACTAACTCTTGAACCTTCTTGGGAACACACCACACCCTCCTTTCCATTCCTCAAAGCCACCTAGCTAAGCTCCTTCTCCTCAGGGCCTTTTGCCAAACTCTGCCCACCTCTTGCCCATGATGACTGGATTCTTTAGCTCACATGCCACTTCCTGCCAAAGCCTTCTCCATCCACCTGACCTAAACCAGCCCTCTTGTTATGCTACTTAGTTTCCTTTCCACTGTCAGTCTCTTCCTGCAGACTGTCTGCCCATGAGCGCTGACACCTTGTCTATTTTGTTTATTTCTGTATCTGCACAGTGCCTGGTACAAAATAGGACTTAATAAATATTTGTTGACTGACTGACTGAGTGAATGAACCCCTACTTCCAGTGTGCAGTGCTGAGATAATAAAGAGTTATTTACTGATGGCTTAGCATGCGCCAGGAACTCCTGCAAATACTTCACTGGCATCATTTTCACTTAATCTTTATAACCACCCAACCAGAGAGGTGCTAATATTATCCCCATCTTGAGGGCAAATACTGATGAGGACACAGANAAGCCCTCCCTTAAAATATGGCTGGGCCAAGGGACCATGTCTAGGCTCGATTGACCCCAGAATAAGGCTTGTGGGGGGACAGAGTCCATTAGGACCCTCCAACCCCGAGAACCCAGATGGGCTCCTCCTCCCATCTGCACTCATCTGGAAGGTTCAGAGCACCACCCCACACCTGGTTGGGTAGTCGGTGGCACTGAGGTTGATGAAGAAGTCCCAGGCCCAGCCAGGCACCTCCAGCAGGTCCTGCATGCTCCGCAGATACATCCTCAGCAGGCTGGCCCCACCCCAGATGGTGACCATGCGCCAGGAAGTCACCCGCACATTATCATACTGCTGGGCCAGCTCCACCACCTCACGGTGCAGGTAGTTGGAGCGCTGCAGGATGGGGTAGGGGGTGAATATCAGGAGCTGTAAGTGAACCCCCAGCATACAGCCTCCCCACCCCTCCCCAACCCTGGACAGAATGCATCTGTCATGGAAGGGAGAGCACAGGGTAGGGTTCTAGCTCCTAACTGGCCATGTCACCTTGTGCTGGCTGCTCCCCCATCCTAGGCCTGTTCCCCTATCTCTGGCCCACCTGAGCAGGTCAGAGACCTGTCTGTTGGTGGCCTTTCTGCTCTGCTCAGATTCCTTTAGTCTCCTCCCTGCCTCCCTCCCAGCCCCACAGTACCTTGTCCACATGGATATAAAAGAAGTGCTGCTCATGGTAGACAGCCTTGAGGAGACGCTTCAGCTGCCGGATGGCGCGGCCATGAACCACCAGCATATAGGCGATTCGTACTGGGGGGCCATCCATGGGCAGCTGGGCCCGAACCTCGTCCCACTGGACACCAGGACTCATCTTCCCTGAGAGCAGAGAACGGGAGCATCAGCGAGGCCCCCACCCCAGGTCACAGAGTGGAAGTGAGATGGGAAGAGGGGGCCGCCAGGGTTCCAAAGGAAGAACCCTAGATTTGGAGCCCCGTGCTCCTGGGCCCCAGGCTGCCTCTGCCACTTTGTGCCTTTATCACCAAGTTGGCCAGGGAGGTGGGACCCCTGAGCTTTCTTCCTCTGAGAAATGGGAGTGGGGAGCCCTGCCATGCCACCTCTCCACCCATGCCTGTCTCTTACCAGCCAGCTGGCAGTGCCGGGGCACAGCCTGGGGCATGAGGCTCCCGGCCTGGTGCAGGCACACCACGTTGGCAATCTCCTGTTGGCACTGCTTGGAGCTGGCCCGAGCCAGGGCAGACAGCGCATCCTTGCCCACAATCTCGCACTTGGGGGTGAAGCCGTTGTCTGTGGGCTGGGGGGCACCCTCCACACTCCCTGTGTCTCCATGTGGTGGGAAGCCAGCTGCCCCGACCAGCGACTCCCCGGCTGCCGCCCCACTCAAGTTCTGGCGGCCTGGGGCCTCCGGGGGTGGGGCAGGTGGGACCCGCCTGCTCACTCTGTGCCGGCTGGTTACTGCCCGCACCACCTTGGCCACGGGCACACCTGGGCCCTCAGCGCGGCCCCGCCAGCGTCCATGCCTTCTGCCTGCGCTGCCCCGCCGCCCGGCTGAACTGTCGGTGTCCTTGGAGCCCTCGCCGGGATCCAGCGGTCGCGGCTTCCTCTGCCTTCCTTTCTGTAAGAGGCAGACACAGGTCACTGGGACATTTGCTCTCCTGCTGCTCCTTTAGCTCCCCGCTGGCCTCAGGCCCAGAACCACCTAACATCCTTTACCTAGAGAAGTTCCTTTCATCCTAGGACAGCGCACGAACAGCACCTTTGCTGGGAGGCAACCCAACCAGCCACCCGAGGAAGCCATGTCCTGCTGCCATGACACAGTCACATCCATGTACTCACTATCACAGACCACAGGGCACTTCATGGAATCAGACCCCACTTTCTTTCTCAGTGTATATGAAAAGGAACGGCCACATGTGTCACAAGAAAAGGGTGCAGAGACCCTGCAGAGAATACAAGAGTGTCCACCCAGCACTCCCACCCAAGCCTGGCTGGGACAGACAGAAGGAAAGCATTCTGCAAACTACAGCATTTCCATGTGAGATCACAGAGGCCACAACATCGTGAAAAAGTCTTGCCTGGTGGGCTGGAGAAACCAAACACCCTAATTTTGTTTTGGTTCTCTGGGAGGCAGAGACCAAGATGGTCAGAGTACTGTCTTGATTTTCATTGCGGTAACACCTGTGCACAATGGCGAGTGGGAGCAGAAGTCAGCAGCAAAGCCTCCAGACCGCCAAGCCGGCCTGACACCTGGGCAAGGAGGGGAGGAAGGAAGAGCTTCAGACTGCAGCACGGCTCAGGAAGAGCCCTGGCAGCTAACAGGAAACTCCAGCACACAGACAGCCCATAGACAGGAGCCCTTGCACCACTGCCACACTCAGTCCCTGGCCAGGGGCTGCCCAGAAGTGCCTGGCTGTGGCTGGAAGGCGGAGCGGAGCCTGAACGCACCCACAGTTGGAGGCTGGCAACTAACCACTCCCTATGGCAGGTTCATTCTAGAAGGGGAATATGAGTGGTGTGCCTCCATGGCTGCCGCAGTCTGCTTCTGGGCTCCTGCTGCCTCTCTCAAACCCAGGCTCTTCCTCAGATGGCCCAGTCACTTGAAAGGCTCCTCCTCAGCTCTCACTGTCCCCCTATCTTGATTCCCTCTTCCCTGCTTGGCCAAATCTCACCCATCCTTCAAGATCCATTACCAAGTCCCCTTGTGCAAAGCCATCCCATGTGTCACTGTCCCTGGGGCTGGAATGCCCTTCTCTGATGTCCCCATAGCTTGTTCTTTGCCTTTCAGTTCTTCGCTCAGATGGCATCTTCTCAGTAAGGCCCACCCTGACTACTGTATTTAAAACTCCAGCCCTCCCTCAATCTCCACTTTATTTTTCCCATAGCACTTATTACCTTCTCTCATCATAAAATGTACTTATTTATAATGTGTTACTCTATGTCTCTCCCCTTACAAGAATGTAATGTCCATGAGGACAAGGCTTTTTGTTGTTCACTAATGTATTCCTCCGGCAGACTGAGCTCCATGGGGAGAGAAATCATGTCAGCCCATGTCACCAGTGGAATAGCTGGCACAGAGGGGATGAGACGCGGAAGGGATGGAGGAGCAAGAGGCCCTGTGTGACCTCTCTGGAGTCACCTGGGCTCTACTCCTGGCGCAGCCACTTCCTGGCACCTCCCTCTCTGAGCATGTTCCCTCAGCTGTAAAATACAGGAGGGAAGTGTGAGTGTCAAATGAGATAGAGCGTGAGATAGTGCGGCCAGGAGAGGCTGTCTCGCCAGCCGCCCCATTCCTCTCTTGAATTCTCTGTAAGCCCACTCCACGGGTCGCCCCTGACTCCACAAGTGCTACCACCTCTCTTCTGGCTAGACTTTCGGGAGCATGACTTACTGGACCACAGCCTCTCCTTGAAGCGCCCCCGCCCCCCCCCACTGGGCTTCCAGGATGCCCTCCTGCTGTTTCCCCAGCCTCCACGGTCACTCCTTATCAGTCTCCTTGGCTGACTCTTCCTTATCTCCCAAGGCCACCCTGGGGCCTTCCTTGTCCTAGCTTCCCAGCTGGTCTCATTCAGTCTCTAAGCCCCATTCCCCCATTTCCCTCTCTGGCCTGGATTGCCTGGACCCATAGGTGTTTAACTGCCCGCCCCCTTGACATCTCTTCTGGGAGACAGACCTCTCAAATCCACAAGTCCCAAAGCGAACTCTTGATCTTCCTCCCCAACCTGCTTCTACGTCAGTTTTTCCCGTCCTCATGTTGCTCAGGCCACAAACTTTTGGGAGTCATATTTGACTCGTTTCCCTCCCACACTACCCCCAGTCTGTCATCAGTCCCGTTGGGGCTGCCTTCAAGACTCAGCCAGAGTCCACTCGCTCCTCACGGCCCCCATCTCTGCCACCCTGGCCTGGAGCCCTGGTCTCCCCGCTCCTACTCCAGTTTCTGGATAGTTGTTCTCATCCCAGCAGCCAGTATTCCTATTAAAACAAGTGCTGCCACCACTCCTCCACTTGAAATCACACATGGCTTCCCCTCTGAGGGTCAAACCCACGGCCCTTACAGGAGCCTGCAAAGGCTGTGTGAGCTGCGGCTGGATGCCCCCTCCCGCTGCTCCTCCCTTTCCTGACCTCATCTCCTGCTAACCGCTCTTCATGCCCACTCTCCTCCAGCCCAGGGTCTCCTCAGCCTCCCTCCATGCCAGGTGGCACTACTGTCCCTGGGGCTGGAATGCCCTCCTCTGATGTCCCCATAGCTTGTTCTTTGCCTTTCAGTTCTTCACTCAGATGGCATCTTCTCAGTAAGGCCCACCCTGACTACTGTATTTAAAACTCCAGCCCTCCCTCAATCTCCAGTTTATTTTTCCCATAGCACTTATTACCTTCTCTCAACATATAATGTATTTATTTATAATGTGTTACTCCATGTCTCTCCCCTTACAAGAATGTAATGTCCATGAGGACAAGGCTTTTTGTTGTTCACTAATGTATTCCTAGAACCCAGAAGAATGTCTGGCAACTGGAGACCCTCAGTAAATACTTGCTGAGTGAATAAATGAATGAAGTAAAGTTCTTTGCATAGGCCCAGCATTCAATAAATGCTGCTATCCTTTTATTATTAATTAATTATTATTATTTTTGGAAGAGGAGTAGGAAATAGTCAAATGTCATGTCAGGAGAGTGACAAAGGCCCTTAGACACTTGGAACTCTTTTGAGATGAGTTTCCCTGCCCACCCCCTCCCTAAAACATTCCCCCCTCCCATCAGAGCATGGCACACACCTCACATGTCAGTCTCACAGCTACGTTAGGGCCAGAGCCCTATCGTTACACCCTAGCATTCATGCAATCTGTGCCCAGTACCCAGTGAGCCCTCTAATCTCTAGAGGGGTGTCCAATGAGAACTAGGAGGCATCTATTCTGAGAAGCAACACCTGAATGAGGTCTGCTCTCTCCTCCCCACTCTGCCTTCCCTCCTCCCTGGCAACTGGAGACACTCGGTAAATACTTGCTGAATGAATAAATGAATGAAGTAAAGTTCTTTGCATAGGCCCAGTATTCAATAAATGCTGCTATCCTGCAGACCTCTGAGAAGTATTTACTGAGTATCTCCAGTTGCAGGGAGGAGGGAAGGCAGAGTGGGGAGGAGAGAGCAGACCTCATTCTGCACCCGCAGTGGGGAGGGCACCCTGGACTGGGTAGCCCCCAGGAAAGGTGAACACAGCCCCACTGAGCTGAGTGTTTATCACCCTGGTGATGTCTGACCTGGTCACACAGTGGGCAGAGAAACACATGCTCAAGCTTAGTTTATAGAGGTGGCAGAGGAGCTGTGTGGGCTATTGACGTGGAAGCCAGTATCAGCAAGTCAGGAAGCTGGTCAAGAGGGCAGGGCATGGGGCACAGGGCCAGGCTGGCTGTGGTGGGGAACAGGATGTGGGAGAAGATGGGCCAGTTGGTGCCCTGCGCTGCAGCAGGGAGCTGGCTGACCCTGAGAAGGACAATCCCAAAGGAGGCTGGGGGCCGGGAGACAGCAGTGGGGAATTGGGAGGGGGGGTTTCCCAGCAGGCAGTGTGTTCACATGGACATGAGCAGGGCCCCATACTTATATGCCTAGAGAAGCTGTACCCTGTAGTCCCTGAGGTCAGGGTCCCCTCTGATTACTGAGGGTAGGACTGGCCCTCTAACCTTTGGCCTGGAAGCATTCTGGCCTCAGAGGTCTCCTCTTTTCCACGGAGGAGGCATTCAGAGTCCTCTGCCACTTCCTGGCTCTGCAGCTCCTCCCAGACTCCTGCTCTGAGCCCCAGAGTCAGAGAACACAGAAACACTTACCCAGACCCCACCACCTCGAGGCTTCTCCGACTGTATTTAAAGTAAGTGGTGAAGACGATATGAAAGCTTTAAAAACCATAAAGTGGCTCTTTGGATGTTAATGCTCGTCCCTGGTCTCCACTCTAGCCCCTCTAATGTGTCTGAAATGTACATCTGATCCCATTGCTGCTGAAACCCCTTTGGTGCTCTCCTATTGCACTTAGAATAAAACCCTAGCCCCTCACTGCAGTTGCTAGTATGTTCCCTGGACTAACTCTTGAACCTTCTTGGGAACACACCACACCCTCCTTTCCATTCCTCAAAGCCACCTAGCTAAGCTCCTTCTCCTCAGGGCCTTTTGCCAAACTCTGCCCACCTCTTGCCCATGATGACTGGATTCTTTAGCTCACATGCCACTTCCTGCCAAAGCCTTCTCCATCCACCTGACCTAAACCAGCCCTCTTGTTATGCTACTTAGTTTCCTTTCCACTGTCAGTCTCTTCCTGCAGACTGTCTGCCCATGAGCGCTGACACCTTGTCTATTTTGTTTATTTCTGTATCTGCACAGTGCCTGGTACAAAATAGGACTTAATAAATATTTGTTGACTGACTGACTGAGTGAATGAACCCCTACTTCCAGTGTGCAGTGCTGAGATAATAAAGAGTTATTTACTGATGGCTTAGCATGCGCCAGGAACTCCTGCAAATACTTCACTGGCATCATTTTCACTTAATCTTTATAACCACCCAACCAGAGAGGTGCTAATATTATCCCCATCTTGAGGGCAAATACTGATGAGGACACAGAAACAGGGCAGGTGATTTGCTAGTGGTCACAGCACTACTTAGAAGAAGAGCTAGAAAGGGACATAGGATGGTGAAGTGGGGTCCAACTTCAGCGCCCATCTTCCTAAGCTCTGCTTGGCAACCCAAAGTCTAGTAAGGTGGCTCCTGAAGGGTCTAAGTACTGATGGCTGCTTGAACTGTACAACCTTGTAGTCATTGAGGACCCTCTTCCATTCCAGTCCAGGGATTCCCCCATCAGCTTCTGCCAGGAAGCTGGACGAGGAGGTGGATCCCAGCCACTCTACTGCCCCCGTTCCTCCCCAGGCTGTGGGATGGGCAGCAGGGACTTGAGGCCTGGACAATCTCTCAGTCCATCCAGAGACTCACAGAGCCATGCAGCATAGGGCCACGGCCACTGTTTTCTGAGAAGCCTCAGACATTTTGCCATGCCTCTTCTGAGTGTTCACCAGCTTCTGCTCACATACTCCAGGGTATGAGGGCTTCCAACCTGCCTTGGCAGCCCATTCCATCTTAGAATGTCTCATCTGCCCAAAGAATCTTTTTACACTCTCCTCCTCTTCCTCCTACTTATTGGTCCACACAGAACAAGCTCACCAGCTTCAGATGTCACAGAGCCAGCCTCTTCCCACCACTACCCTAAGCTCCATGTGGAGTCACGGTAGCACGTGGCTATCCCAGATCCCCTCACCACCCCAACCTTCTGGTTCTCCCAATCCTCACACTAGGTCTTCCTCTCTGCCTGGGTGCAGGAGGGGAAAGTGGACACTGGGCCTCCCTTGGCCTTCACATTACCATGGGAAGATGCCCAAGAAGACATGGCAAGCAGAGCATCTGACTTAGGGCCCCAGAGGCACCAGAACCAAGGAGTGAGGGTGGGGGCTGGGAAGACCTGCCCCCTGGCCCACAGCTTTGGGGTAGGGCTTGGCCTATCCTCCCAGGACTGGACCCTTCCTGACTGCACTGGGGAGAACATGTCTGGGGTTCCGGCTGGAACCACAGTCAGCCAAAGGTGACTGAGACCCTCGGGACAGGGACCCAGTAACTGAGCAGGATGGGTTTACCCCTGCTCTACGGCCAGAGCACTCCTAAACCATTTCCTAAGAGCCAGGAGGGGCCTCTCTCCAATTCAAAGGTCCAGAGGCCAACTCACCAGCTCATTCCCTCTGCCATACCCTACTGAAGACCCACGCAGGTTGTTCAGACCGCTGACTGAGAAAGCCACGCCTCGGGGATACTCCAGTTCTCTCCCTTGGGGTCAGTCCCTGTTCCCGCAGTTGCCGGACTGAGTTCCAGCTCCGAGCTCTACTTCCCCACCAGCCGCTGCCCGTCAGGCGCAGCTGGGCGCGGATGCTCGGGGTCCCTCCGGCCCGCTCCTCCGCCCACCGCGCGCACACCCCCGCCCCCTCCTAACTTCAGAAAGTTTGGCCTGGGGCTCCCCACCTCCAAGAAGCCTCGGACCCAGCCCTGCCTCCCGGCCCCGCTCCACGCGCCTGACCTTCATTGCTTCCCGGGCCAGAGACTACCCCACCAAGACCCGTTCCTCCAGCTCCAGCCCCCTACCTGCCCGCAACCCGGGCCTCCGGGCCACGCACGGACCCCGCGCGCAGTCCCCGGGGCCCTTCAGAGAAGGGGGCGCCTGAAGTCCGACGCCCCACTCCAGGCGGCCGCCCGCGCCAGGCACGTAAGCGTCCAGTGCCCCACTTCCCCGGCCGGGGCCGCCAGCCGCCCCGCCAGGACCACGCGCGCCCCCGCGCCCGGCCTGCCCGCCTGTCCGCCCGGCTGTCGGAGCACCTCGCCCGGCTCGTCCTCCTCCAGGCCGCTGAAGCTCCACACCACCAGGCCCTGCAGCAGCAGGATGGCCAACGCCGTGGCGATCGCCAGCTTGTAGCGCCGCACCAGCTTCTGCACCCGCGCGCTCGCCACCATCTTCCTGCCCGGGACGCGGGGCGCGCGCCCAGCTCTGCAACCCGGCCGCGAGCGCGCGCATGGGCGCGGACAGAGCCGACTCCCCCTACGGGAGGCGGGATGGGCGCGCGCCCGGGGCGGGGCCAGGGGCGGGGCTCGCAGGCCCTTAAGGCCGCACCCCGTAGGCCCGGGGCGGAGTCTGGGCCCGCAGCACCGCCTCCCTTGGCCGCGGTGGGCTTGGGACGCGGAGCTGGCCTCGGGCGACGGGTCTACGTCCCCGCCAATGCAGTTCCCATCTCTGTACGTGCCCAGCTCCTGCGTGTGCTCGCCTCCTGGACGGCACCCTTATTGTACCGGCCCGACCTCTCTTTTGCTCGCCGCCTGGTGTCGTGGGATGTAAGGTAACAACTCATTGTCAACAGATAACCTCTGGGTCCCAGGGCGCACAGAGAATGCTAGGGCTCCCGGAAACGCCGAGTTGAGAGAGATTGTGTTAGTGCCACAGGACCCTGCTCAAAAACCCCAGAGGCCGCACCTATGGGGCAAAGTCTAACCCTCTTGACTGGCTCCACACCACCAGGCCCTGCAGCAGCAGGATGGCCGACGCCGTGGCGATCGCCAGCTTGTAGCACTGCATCAGCTTCTGCACCAGCGCGCCTTTTAGAAAGCCGAGTGTTCTTTCTCCTCTTCCCATCCACAGGATCCTCAGGCCTGTGCTAGAACCGAACCTTGCTTCTCAAATTCGAGGTTGTGCCAGAATCAGCTGGAGGACTTGATAAAAGGGATTGCTGGTCTCCACCTCCAGAGTTTTCTGCCTTGATAGGTCTAGAGTAGGGCCCGAGAATTAGATTTTAAACAAGTTCCCAGATGCTGCTGCTGCTAGTCTTGAACCACATGTGAAGGATCACTAGACCTTTGCACATGCTGTTCCCTTTGCCAAGTCCAACAGCTGTTACCCACCTTCTTTCCCCGGCCCTGTCAATGGCACCCTCCCCAAGTGCTTCCCCATTCTTCAGCTTTAGTTAAATGGGAGAATTGTAAACTTTGTTTCAGATGACAAGTTTGACTACTTACGAGAATCTACCCCCCAAGGATTTTGGAAATCAGTTGACATGCCAACAATTGATATGTTAATTAAATATTGAACTTGTGTGCTCCTTAAATCATGTCCTCTAGGGACACCTACCTACCAATACTCCGCCCTACCTAACAATGAAAATAGCTTGATTTTCCGCTGATTTTATAAATAATGTGTATTTTTATGTATAACATTTCAAACTTCAAAAATGGAAGGGAAAAAGTAAGTTACCTGTAATCCCACCCCCTGAGATAACCCTCATTAATATTTTGATGACCATCCTTTCCACCATCTCTTTGTGTGTGTGTGTATAATTTTGTATGGATAAGGTCACATTACACAGGTGGTTTTTAAATATAGCAACGTAGTTTATTACGTATTTCTCTCCCCTTCTTTATGTTAACAGGCTGGCTGGCTGGCTGGCTTCATTTATTCCTTCCTAACTTCCTTTCTCCCACCTTTCTCTGTAATGTGCTCGCGTACACACAACACACACACACACACACACACACACACACACACACACACACACACACACACACACTTTTTGGAAGGGGAAGGAGTGTTATATTTAAAAAGTTGAATTATATTACATACATTTATTTATCTGCATTTTGCTTTCTACCTTAACCATAAATACATAGTAGAAATTCCCCCAAGTGGGATAGGACAGGTCTAACTCATTCTTTTTCCATGACTGCATAATATCCTACTCTTTCCTTGAATACACATTCACTTGGTTTCCAGTTCTTGCCACTACCACAAGGCTAAAATAAACATGGCTCTAGGAACATCCCTATGCACTGATCTGATGCCTTTATAGCTAGTGGTAGAGTTTCCCAGGAATGGGATTACTAGAGAAAAAGGACTTTAAAATTTTTATAGCTGTTGCCAGATTGCTTTTCCAAAATGCTGTGGCAATTCACAGTTCCAACAGCAATGTATGAAAGCTTTGTTTCCCTGCATCTTTTCCAGCAACAGGTGTTTTTTGCTCTTTTTAATATATACTAATCTGATAGGTGAGAAGTGTCCTCCTTGGCTCTTTAAATTGTGGTTCTCTACTGGGAGTGTCTGTTAATTAGTTTCTTGACTGGATTTGTTCTTCCCAGTATTGCCTCTTCATAATTTTCATGAGTTTATTGCTATTGCATTATTTGTCTTTTTTTTTACAGTTTTGTTTATTTTGGTATCATTAATATACAATTACACGAGCAACATTGTGGTTACTAGATTCCCCCCATTATCAAGTCCCCACCACATACCCCATTACAGTCAGTCCATCAGCATAGTAAGATCTATAGAACCACTACTTGTCTTCTCTGTGCTTTACTGCCTTCCCCGTGTCCCCTCACCTACATTATGTGTGCTAATAGTAATGCCCTTTTTTACCCCTCATCCCTCCCTTGCCACCCATCCTTCCCAGTCCCTTTCCCTTTGTAACTGTTAGTCCATTCTTGGGTTCTGTGAGTCTGCTGCTGTTTTGTTCCTTCAGTTTTTTTCTTTGTTCTTATACTCTGCAGATGAGTGAAATCATTTGATACTTATCTTTCTCCACCTGGCTTATTTCACTGACCATAATACCCTCTAGCTCCATCCATTTTGTTGCAAATGGTAAGATTTGTTTTCTTCTGGCTGAGTAATATTCCATTGTGTATATGTACCACATCTTCTTTATCCATTCATCTACTGATGGACACTTAGGTTGCTTCCATTTCTTGGCTATTATAAATAGTGCTGCAATAAACATAGGGTGCATATGTCTTTTTTCAAACTGGGCTCCTGCATTCTTAGGGTAAATTCCTAGGAGTGGAATTCCTTGGTCAAATGGTATTTCTATTTTGAGTTTTTTGAGGAACCTCCATACTGCTTTCCACAATGGTTGAACTAATTTACATTCCCACCAGCAGGATAGGAGGGTTCCCCTTTCTCCACATCCTCACCAATATTTGTTGTTGTTTGTCTTTTGGATGGTGGCCATCCTAACTGGTGTGAGGTGATATCTCACTGTGGTTTTAATTTGCATTTCTCTGATGATTAGCTATGTGGAGCATCTTTTCATGTGCCTGTTGGCCATCTGAATTTCTTCTTTGGAGAATGGTCTCTTCAGGTCTTCTGCCCATTTTTTAACTGAATTATTTGCTTTTTGTTTGTTGAGGTGTCTTATCAGTTTTTATTAAAGAGTTTTTCATCTTTTTAAATTTTAAAGTTTCCCTCAACTTTTTCAGACCTTTCTAAAATTTTTAGCTTTTGGGGGGAATCAAATATATTCCTCTTGTTTTGTGGCTTCTCATTTTCTAATCTGATATAGTAGATCTTCCCAATTCCTGATAAGGTGTATTGTCTCATATATTTTCTCCTACAAATTTTATTTTACATTTTTACATTTATGCCTTTAATCCATGTTCAGTTTGATTTTGTCTGTGGCATGAGGAAGTCTTTATTTAGCACTTAATTCCCAGTCACTTTATTAATATCCAGTTAGATTTTACTATCCTTTTTAACAAACCCGTTATTGGGGTATGACATGCATAGATTCCTTTAGATCTGACCATATGAAATGCAAGGGTCCTTGCTCCCACTGTCTCTTCTTCAGGTTCCCTTATAACTTCCATTGTGCCCCCACCCCTGCTTTTATTGTAAACAGTCTTGAAAATACAAAATGGCTCCTGAGAAAATCAGAACAGGAAAGCATTTTTTTAAAGTTTAAATGGGCTGCTTGTGTGATACATCCTTTCTTATGTGAAAGTATTATTCTTAGAGTCTTAGTTTTAGGCATTATTTTATGAGGCATGGATTCTGAATGTTTTCAAATGCATTCTTAGTAGCTAGGGTTCAACTTGGCTCAGGACAGCAGTAAAGCCCAGAGGCTGTGCCTCCAAACATCTCCCCAGGCTCTGTCTTTTCACCTTTATCTGGTTTCTGCTTCTCTGTCCCATTCCTTGGATTGACACTTCACTGGGCTGTCTGCTGGGCCTGGGGTTGGCTTTATCCCTAGATGCAGCATTGGTACAGCCTCTGCCATCCCACATCCAACCAGCTCAGGATCTCTGGGCTTCTGCTCACCAGAAAATAAATTCCAACATCTATTGAAATGATCATATGGATTTTTCTACTGTGACCTACAGAGATAATGGATTATTTTTTTAAATAATATCTACATATTGAGATGTTTTTGCAACACTTAGAGAAATGTTACTTGGTCTTAGTAGGGTTTTTTTTAGGTTGTAGTATAGGTTGAGTTGGACTTACACTGTTTTATTTAGGATTTTTACACTGGTGTTTAGAAAAGAGATCGACCTATACCAGAAACTGCAAACTGGTGACTCAAAGGACTTGTTTATTTACCAGCCTAGGATTTTAAAGCATTTAATTTTGAGTCCCTGATGAAGGGGTACATACTCTCCAGTTCTTACGGCTCCCACTTTTTCCTGTCATTTTACACTCCATCAACTTCACCCATTTATATTATGTCTGGCTCTTACAGACACTTATGTTTGCAAACCGTTGTCCATGGTTTTCTTTTCTCATTTTTTTTTTCTTGGTAGATCTGAGACTCAGAATTATGTTAGTTTACAACAAAAATTGAGAAGCATGTTTTCTTTATTCTGTGTTCTGAAATAATTTCTACAACAAAAGATACTGCTGTTCCTTAAACATTACAGAAGCCTTGCCAGCAAAAGCATCTAAACCAGGAGTCCTTTAGGGAGTCAATTCTTTGGTAACCTCTATTTTCTTCCTTCTTGGTTATTGGTCTATTCAGAATTTTGTGCCTTTTGGGGGGGGAAGGAACAATGTTGATATTTATGAATCTTTTTCTGGAGAAGCATTTAAACACTCTACTACATCTTATTTTTCTTTCTCAGTTATTTTGTTTATATTGTATGTCAACAGTATGAATTGTTCCAAAATGAAAGGGTTGCATCACTTTCATTTTTCTACTTAGCCAGCTGCATAGAAAGAGAGCCCATGTGGCAACATGAGCTTTCTCTCTGGTCTTCTGAGTCCCTTAAGA